CAGGGAGCCCCAGGAGCTGCTGTTTGAAACCAAGGGACGATAACCAGAGCTGGGCAAGGCGGAGACCCAGGCAGAATCCCAGGCACATGCAGGGGAGGGGCTGGGAGCTGGTGCCCCAAAGCCAGGGACCCCAGAAGTGTGGGGTTGCCTGGGCTGAAGCAGTGGGCTTAGGTCACTTCTTCCAAGGTATGCTGTTCTCTGCCTTTACGGAGAGCTGGGCGCGGGGCTGCATACCTACAGTGCCAGCGACTTGGGAGGCTGAGGCAGGAGGGTGGCTGGAGCCCAGGAGTTGTGCCTGTGAACATGGCTACAGCAGGCACACAGTGCTGAGCAGACTTGACTGCGCTTCTGAGATGAATGCCCGCTAAGCTAGGCCTCAGTCGTTTTCCCCAATTGTCCCAAAAGTGGCTCACAAGCCACCAAGGGCCTCACACATTTCTTTTTGATGCCTCCTGTGCCTGTTGAGTCTGTCACACCCCTGCTCTCCCCAACTGTTCTGCTTGTGAGAGTGAAATGAGCTTCTTAGAGAAAAAAACAGCTGCAGAAGCTTGTAACTGGAAAGGGTCACATGGTGTGGCCTGCCCGCTGTGGAAGGACCGCAGTGTGCGGTGCCCCAGCATGGGAGTTTTGAGAAGGGTGTGGTGTGGCGGGGTGATCCCTTTTTTTAAAGTTACATATTTCTGAAATGTTTTGGTTTTCTTTCTTGAGTCAAAAACAAGGATACACAGAAGAAAGTAGAGCCCCTTCTGCACAGCTGCCCCCTGTGCCGAGTGGCAGCTCAGGAGTCCGTGTGTGGCCGGTGGACAGCTGTTTCCAATGTCTGGGGCAGGGACAGAGGAGGGGCCGGCCATCCCAGGGTCCCCAGGCCACTTTCTCTTCTTACCAGTTTCTGGGCTGTCAGGCTGCGCGTGGGTCCTGGGCCTGCGCTTCCTGCAGGCTGGGGGGACTGGCCGGGTGGGTGCCTGCACTCCTGGAGAGAGGGGAGAGGCCGGTCCTGTTGACCCGTGCAACAGTTCTCCATGACCTTAGACCATGGCGCTACTGAGCCAGTATCAGGCCCCCTCTGGTCTTGCCCCAGGGCCTCTGGGAGCTGCCACTGGCAGTCACGGCTCTCTGTCCTTTGGTCAGCAGCCTGAGAACATGGGTCCTCCAGCAGCCCCCTCCGAGACCCTCCCCTCATCCTGTTTCTGGGAAAGGGACCCCCAAGTGTGGGTCGCTGGCTCCCTGCCAGGCCCCTGCTCTCAGTGGTCTCCTCTGCCCCCAGGGAAGGCTACAACAACCCCCCCATCTCAGGTGAGAACCTGATTGGCCTGAGTAGGGCCCGTCGCCCCCACAATGCCATCTTTGTCAACTTCGAGGACAATGAGGTACCCATGCAGCCGCTGGAGGCTGCGGTCCAGACGTGGAAGAGGACCTGCACCAACCCCATTGACCAGGAGGTGGAGGAGGAGCTGAGGAAGGTGAGTCCCTGCCCTGCCAGCACCTCGCACCGCCCCCTAGCCGCTCCTTCCTGTGTCCCTGGGGGTTGGCTTTGCTGAAACTGGGTCATTAGTGCTTGCGTTCACCTACCACTGTCATGTATGATGGCCATGCCAGTACAAATCCTGAATTCCAAGGCTGAAGGGGCCTCTTAAAATTCTTAAGCAACCCCTGGGGGTGTTGAAGGCTGCACTGTTGGAAAGTGATTGGACTGTAGCACCGGCACCTGGCAACCCTTGGGTAGCATTGAGACAAACCAAAGGCAAGCCGACCGTGCGCCAGGCCCTGGCACTTTCACCCCAGGTAGAGCTGGGGCTGTCACCTGGCACTATACCTCCCCACTGGCCACAGTTGCAACAAGGACAGAGGTGGGGCCAGAGGGCCTCTGTGTGTTGTGCCCGTCGTTAGCAGGAACAGCAGGCTCTCTGCGAGGTATGCCCTGCTGACCTGGGTGGAGGCTCGGCCTGCCTTGCTTAAGCTGAAGTCACGCTGCTCCCCCAGTGGTTGTGTCCTAAAGAGACCCTGTGGCTGGCTGTCTTGCTGCATTTCCAGCAGTCACCTGGCAGGGAGACAGTGGGCACGGCCTTTTGCAGTCTTTGCCTGGCCAGGGCACCCCTCTGCCTTTGTGCTGTCTCAGCTCAGCGCTGTTCGGGCTCCTGGCTGGCCTGTTCCTGCTGGGGCCGTGTCCTTCGCGTCACAGTCACTGGCCATACTTTTGAAGCCCCTGCTCTCCCCGAGTCTCCTCCGGAAAGACCCACAGGGGCCTTGGCCCGGGGGGGCTCGAGCTGCTGGTGCTCATCTCCGCCTCTGCCCTCCACCCTCCCCAGCTGTTTGACCTCCGCCCTGTCTGGTCACGCAATGCCGTGAAGGCCAACATTAGTGTCCACCCGGACAAGCTGAAAGTCCTGCTTCCCTTCATGGCTTATTACATGGTAAGTGCCAGCCGGGCCTCCACCCCGAGGCGACGTCTTAGAGCCAAGGCGGTGGCAGTGGCCCTGCTGCCCGGCACCCCCCATCTGGCCTCCTGAGACATCTTATTAACCATCTGGGAAGTTTCCAGCCCGAGTCCGCAGAGTTTCCCACAGCCTCCTCATAGTGCTCTGGGCCGTGTCTGGGTGGCTTTGGGATGATGTTCTGTGAGCACCAGGCGCTGGGTGAGACTGCACCGCACGCCCTCTGCTCCTCCCCGGGGGTGTTGGCACAGACCCCTTTTTACCCACGCTGCGCCATGGGCCGCCCCTGGTGAGAGCAGTGCCACCTCGGCCTGGGCCTGGGCCTGGGCCTGGACCTCAGCTCCTACTGTGACCCCACCCAGGATGGCTGGGGATGAGGTGGCCCTGCTGAGGTAGGAGAGCCTGTGTAAGATGTGACTGTGAGGATTGACGACAGGTGGCAGGGGCAGTCCTGCCAGACTCCAGAGGGCCAGCCACCTGGTGTCACCTGGCACCGGTCTTAGACATTCCTTCAGAAGTGCCCCTGGGGGCAGGCGTCTGTCCATGAGGACAGCAGCAACATTGCATACTCTTAGAGGCCATGGCGGAGGCTCCTGCTGTCGCCCCTCACCTCCAGGGTGTCCCCAACTCTGGGCTCTGCTGCCTCCTTGTGAGGCTTGGCCCCTCCCTGTCCAGGCACAGGCAGACCGGCCCCGGCACCGCCTCACAGTGCACCTTTCCTGCTCCCAGATCACAGGCCCCTGGAGAAGCCTGTGGATACGGTTTGGCTATGACCCCCGCAAACACCCAGAAGCCAAGATTTACCAAGTCCTCGATTTCCGAATCCGTTGTGGAATAAAATATGGTAGGAACTACTAAAAGCTTTACCTTTGTCCTCGCGCTTTCCCACTTGTAGCTTCTCTTTTGTAATAAGAGGGCGTATATGGGGGTACGAAAGCCCCTCCCTCCCACGGGAGTCTGTGGGACATGGCAGCATAGAAATGAAGGCCCCAGCTTGGTCCTGGCTGCATTGTGGGCCTTCTGTTTTCCAGGTCACAGCCGCCTGTGACCTCATGACACAAGCCAGGCCCTGCTGTGTGTCTGAGCCTAGGACTGCAGTGCAGCCCACAGCCAGCTCCCATCCCTGGGAGCTGGCGTGGAGAACCAGGTCCTGGCTCCAGACGCCTGTCCTTGCCTGCAGGTTATGGCTCCAGCGACATGCCTGTCAAAGCCAAGCGCAGCACCTACAACTACAGCCTCCCCATCACTGTCAAGAAGCCGCGTAAGTGCCCAGCCCCATCTGGGCGCGGAAAGAGGCGCCGCCCAGGCAGCGCTGGAGGGCCCTGCTGGCCATTCCTGCCTGTGTGGAGGGAGATGGGTGCAGGAAGGCAGAGTTCCCAGCCCTGTTCACCAAGTGCTGCCCTTGCCCCATGCAGCCACCCAGCTCATCAGCATGCGCGACCTGAAGCAGGGCCTGGGCCCGTCGGGGACGGCCAGCCCCCGGAAACTGGCCTCCAACAAGTACAAGCTCAAGGTGGGTGCCCCAGACCCCAGGGTGCGGGCCTGGCCTAGTTGGAGGCCGAGGACAGGGATGAGTCTGTGGGGCTTTGGGCCCACCCAGCGCCCTCTCACCACTCCCAGCGTGGGGCCCTCCAGAAACGCGGGGTGCAAGCACTCGGAGTCCCGGAGAGCACGGATCATCTGGGTGGAGGGGTGGTGACAGGGCTCACAAGGGAGAGGGGGTGCCAGCAACTGCGTGTGGCCACTCCCCTGAGCCCGGACCTCCTGAGGCCCGCAGCCACCACCAGGATGATGCAGAACAGGCGCGTGTGTGAGTTTGGAGCCAGAGCGGAGCAGCTGGGGCGCAGCTGGGGCCCCCCTGGGTGCTGGATGGATCCTCACAGGCTCAGCTCTGCCCCCACACTGCCCCGCTGTGATCAGCACTTTCCAGAACCTTCCCACACTTGGGCTCCGCGCTGCCCCCTGCCCTGGGGAGATGCGTCCCCGACAGTCAGCCCCACCCTAGAGGCCCTGCCAGGGGAGGTGGGGGCAGAATGTGAGCACCACAGCCATCTCCATGCTGTAGGCAAGTGGTCTTCCCAAGGCCCCTGAGGGCCTGGCTGCCTCATCTCCCCTCCCAGCCTCCTGGGAGCCGTCAGGATTGCTTCTTCCACATCTGGTCCCCAGGCTAGGCTTGCGTGTGTGCCCTGGTCCCGGGGACCAGCCAGCTCCTGAGACCCCCACGGGAGCCCGCCCCATGCGCCTTTCCGACACGGCCTGCCCAGGCTCGCTAACCACCCTGCTCTTCCTCCAGGACTCGGTCTACATCTTCCGGGAGGGGGCCCTGCCGCCCTATCGACAGATGTTCTACCAGCTGTGTGATTTGAATGTGGAAGAGTATGTACGGAAGGGGCCCTGGGGAGTCTGGGCAGGGCTAAGAAATTGGCCAGAATCAGTATTTTCTGGAGCTCTCACACCTCGTGTCAGCAAGAACACCTGGCCCGGGCGCCGGGTGCTGCCCACGGAGCTGCTGCACGTGGACAGCTCTGGGCACTGGTGTTCTCCCTGGAGGAGTTAACCCGGGTGGCCGCAGGCATCCTCCTTACTGCGGCACCTTTGCTTCTCCTCCCTCCGTGGTTGCTCACACGAGAGTCCATGACACACTTGCTGTGACCAGTCAGAATCCTGGGCCCTTTTCATCCTCTTGTTCCTAGTGATTTATTTTGCGGGGGGTAGCAGGGACCGAACTCAGAACCTTCCACTTATAAGGCAGGTGGTGGCACCATTGAGCTAAATTCCTGGCCTCCTAATGATGTTTAAAGAGTTGCAAGGGCAGGCATCGGGGTAGAGGTCAGGCAGCGCATCAGATGCAGCTTAAAATCTGGGGACGACAGTGACTTCCCAGAAAGATGTGATTGGTTACTACCTATCTTGGGGCAGTTTGGGGATCCCAAGGAGCCAGCTGGGGCCGCACAGCTCCCTCTAAGACATCGCTCAGCGCTGCTTTTCTCAGCACCATAGCACCTCTGCCATACTGCCCACTGGGAACCAAGGCTCCCATAGAATCTCGTATCCCACACCCAACCTCCTGCCTGCAGTTTGCAGAAGATCATTCACCGCAATGACGGGGCGGAGAACGTGTGCACAGAACGGGACGGCTGGTGCCTCCCGAAGACCAGCGATGACCTAAGGGACACCATGTCCCTCATGATCCGGCAGACCATCCGCTCCAAGAGGCCAGGTGAGAGCTGCGCAGGGTGAGGGAGGCCAGGAACGTGCTCCTGAGGTGCTGCCTGGGAGATCCTCTTGCCCTGCCCTCAGCGGGTGGGAGGCCTTGGGAGCTGTGGCCCAGCCTGGTAGCCACATCCTGGCTGCCCAGGGAGGCCCTGGGTCCAGGGGTCTGAGACAGCAGGTGTACAGAGGGAAGCGGCTGCTGTCTGAGGCTGGGGCCGAGACTGCAGCTTCTAGTCCCTTCCCTTCTCACTTCCTGGAGCAGCTTCTCCAGCACCGGGGCTCAGGCACCTGTCATTGGAAAGGGTTCCCCAGGAGCCCTCCAGCCTGTTTGGGGCCACCTGGAAAGCCTGCCCTGGGACACACACGACCTTGTTTCCTCCTGGCCCAGCTCTCTTCTCCAGCCCGACCAAGGCTGACCGTGCAAAAGAGCAGCTGATGTTTGAGTCCGGGGAGGAGGAGGAAGAGGAGGAGGAGGAGGAAGAGGAGGAGGAAGACTTCAAGCCCTCGGATGGGAGCGAGAATGAGATGGAGACGGAGATCCTGGACTACGTGTGAACAGGCCTTCGCTCCTTGGGATGAGCGGGGAGACTGGTGCCCAGCCTCGTGCAGAGCCAAGGAAATCCATGGCTCCTACTGCCAGCCACTGTGGGAGGCCTCTGTGCAAAGCCAGAGTCCCAGCAAAGCAGGCCCAGGCCTGGCTGCAACCCGCGTCTCAGTTCACCCTGTCCCCTGGGTGCTTGGGGACATCCCAGGCTCCGTGCATCCATGGCCCACCCAGGCTCAGGACCTTGGGCTGCGCCTACCGAGAGTAGAGGTGGAGGTGGTATAGCTTGGTACAGCCATCTCCGCCCATGGTCACTGGTGGCCAAAGTCTGCGCTTGGTTTTGGATCCCATCCTTTGGGATTACTGCAGAGGCCAGGCCCAGCCGGAACTATCCTATTAAGTCAGTCTTGCAAGCAGTCTTGGTGTCTTGGCTCACAGGTTGGGGCCACAGGGCAGTTTCCTCTTGCTTTGGGGTTCCTGAAGCACCTCCGTTGCTCCTTTTCCTTGTTTGGGGATGAGGCCTGTACACTTCTCCAGCTGGGTGAGACAAGGACACTGGGAGTGACCTGGGCTGTGCTCATCCCTGATTTACATGAGTGGACACCTTCGGGGGCTCCCTGGAAGCAGGTCCTGTTGTCCCATCGCTTCCCAGCGTGGAAGCAGAGACTCCTGTGTGCCTGCCCAGCCTGCCTCCTGGGCATGCATTTCTGTGCAGGTTCCTCCTGTGCTCCCCACGGGGCAGCAGCACCACTTCCTGTAGGACACCGAGCCACAGATGGGCCATTTGCCTGCTTGTCTGTGTGACTCTGAAGCCTCCCAGAAGCTCAGTATACAAACTGGCCACTAATCTCAAAGCCAAAAGCCTCAGGCTAGCCCCCACCTGCTGGCTGGGTTCCTGGGAAACCTCTTCCCAACACAAGATCAGAATGCTGGAGGCCTTGGTTCCTGTGCAAATCTGAGGAAGGTGCTGAGGCAAGGACCCCCGACACCCCCTGCAGCTAGGCTTTACCCACCCAGAGCATGGGGTGGGCACCTAAGGCCTGCCATACAGGAAGGGCTTCCCAAATCTTGGAAAGTACAGCAATTCCTTTCCTAGAAACCCTCCTTTTGGAAAAAAAGCTTTTTGTTATGAAAAATGTCAAACGTACACGGAAGTCCTGAGTATTTTTATGAAGCTCATGTATCCATTAGCTGGCTCCAGTAGTTGCTAGGTTTTGCCAGTATTGTGCTGTCTATGCGCCCATGTTTTTATTTTGTCTTTGTTTTGCTGGCCTTGCTCTAAGGAAACCCCATACTTCCCAACCTCTAAGACCTGAGAACTTTTTCTTAACTATAACAGTGCTGTTACTACACCTGTTCTAGTTAGGGTTCTCCAGAGAACAACTACAATATTAGAATATATACAGTTATAGGATTTATCACCTTGCACAGTTGCGGAGGTGCAAGTCCAAGGTCTGCAGGGGCGTGGGAGGAGCTGTGTGCTGGTGGGTTCCTTCCCAAGCAGAAGCCCACCATGGCAGGATGATTTACTTTTGTCAGTCCATTCTTTAAAATTTTAAACTCCACCCTTAAACACCTTCACAGACCATATATCTGACACTGTGGTCCAGCGAAGTTGACATACAAGATTGACCACCACAATTAATAAAATTTCCAGTACTCCCATATTATCTGATTCTGTTACATACTCATGTTTCCCTGATGGTCTCAGAAATGTCTGTCTTATGGATCAGGGGTCAGGCACGGCTCTCCTCTACCTTCTGCTTTCTACCAGGAGATGAGGTGGCATAAGGCCCCCACCCAAAGCTGAGCATAGCTGGTGCCAGGCTGTTGGTCTCCAGAACTGTGAGCAAGATAGATTTCAGTGAAGTGTCCGATCTTGCTACAGTGACAGCACAGGAAGACAGAGCCATTTGCCTTAGAGAATGTCCACGTTCTGGATTCAGCTGGCTGCTTCTCATGATGGCAGCTGATACCCATCTTTTTTGCAGATTTCCTGTGAACTGGAGAAGCCTGGGTCACATTCTGCCCTGTGTTAATGTTTCTCGGTGAGACAAAATACCCAACACGAAGTTGGAAAGGGAGTGAGTTTATTCAGCTCACAGTTCATAGAGGTTTCATAGCTGGTTCAAAGGAAAGGATAGCAAACAGGCATTACAGAGGAAAACAACATGGCACAAGGTAGCAAATGTAACAGTTTAACAGCATCTTTCTGCCTCTTTTACTCAGACTACCAGGATTCGGGTGGCATCAAACTAATTGTGTGGTGGCTTATAATTATATCTTTAGCCCCCACCAGACGTTCCAGATTCAACTACCTCTGAAAAAGAAAGTCTCACCTCTGCATGAGGATTTGGGTGACTGTTAAACACAAACCATATCGTTCTTCCCTTGGTTCCCCAAAACTCACACATACTCTATGCAAAAAAGCATTTAATCCATCTCTAAGACTTGCCAAAATCCTAATAGTTTTGGCATTATTGAAAAAGTCCCAAGTCCAAAATCTCTGGGATTCAAAGCAAACTCTTAGCTGCGAGCCCCTGTACAAATGAAGTCAAACACAGGATAATGTAACTGTTCCAAAAGGTACAAACGGATTCAAAGGGATGGGACCAAAGTAAGTCCAAAATCCAGCAGGCCAAACATATTCCACAGTTCTGAGGAAATCTGTGGCGAGTCAACACCAAAGGGCTTGGGTGGCACCAATCCTGTGCCACCTCTGGTGGTTGTAGCTCCCATGGCTTACTTGTTGGGCCACCTCTGTTCCCTCGTACTTTAGTTCAGCAGTCCATGTTCCTGGCTTCTCCAAACTACTGGGGTCTCCACTGCATCTTTGGCATTGCACTCATAGCTTCACACACTGCCTTCTCAGGGGCACCCTGTTTGACCTCCCAGACCTGAAATCTGGTGGAGGTCTTCCTGTCCCCACAACTCTTCCATTTTGCATGTACCTTAAACCAGTGCCACATGGATGATGCAAAGGTCTGCTGCCAGCTGGAGCAGTAGTAGTCTTCCCTCTCGGCTGTAGAATGCCTGGATTGCTGAACACCCTGAACCCAATCCTGAGGAACAAATTCTCTAAGCCACCACCATACTGCAATAATTTCCCTAGGCCACTGCTGTTTTGGAACAACTTCCCTAGGCTGCCACCATTCTGGAACGTGGTGCTCTGGGTCAAAGCAAATTCTTTCACCTTTACAACTCTGAGGCTGCAAAGGGTGGAGTCCTGCTGCTTCCTGTGATGCCCTCAGGTTGTCTTTTCTACTCTGTTCCTTCTCAGCAATCAAGATCTCATCTGCTGTATCTTTGTAATCCAAAGCTTTACTGGTACTTCGTTTCTGGCCAAACTAAAAACATTTTAAGTCATTCTCCTGGGCTCTTTGCTTTTGATTTTCAACATAGATCTGTCTGAATGCCCCCAACAGTAGCTGTGCCACTGCCTCAATATTCAATTGCCTTGAAATTTCTTCTGCAAAATTAATTAGTACATCACCCATAATCTCAGTCTCAGGCAAAGTCTCTGGACATGAATAAAATGTAGACAAACTTTCTGCCAAGCCATAACATCATTTGGAGTCCAACAGCCAATGCAGTCCTTTTTAAAGCAGAATTCTGCCTAGCCTGTTATTTACAAGTTTCCTGGTTTGGGCTCTGACCAGAATCCCCCATACAGAACGGCCTAAGGCATTCCAGGTCTTCAGCTGGCAGTTCTGAATCTTTTGGCAAAGTGAGCATTAGCAAAATGCAGACAAACTTTCTGTCAAGCCATAACACACATCTGGAGTCCAGCAGCCAATGCAGTCCTTCCCAGCAGAAACCTGAGCCTGATCTTTACTGGCCTCTGCCCAGAAGCTCCCATACAAAACAGCCTAAGGTGTTTCAGTGCTGCTGCTGTAAGCCTACATCTCCAGGTCTTTCCTAATTCTCCCCCTTCCCACAAGCCAGTTCCAAAGACTTTAGCCACATGATCAGGTAATGTCACAGCAATGACCCCACTCCTGGTACTAAATTTCTGTGTTAGTTACTTTTCTCTTATTGCTGAGACAAAAAAGCCAACATCCAAAGTGTAAAAGGAAGGGGTTTATTTGGCTTACAGTTTATAGATGCTTCAGCTGGCTGTAAGACAGGGCTGGCAAACAAATTTTGCAGAGGAGAAGCATGGCACACACCAGTTAGCAAAGGTTACGAGAGATCTTCACCAAGTGTGTCTGCCTTTTTTGTCCCATCCAGACTACTGGGATTAGGATGGTGCCAAACTAATCACTCACATGTAGTAGGTTGATAATCATGCACCCTTATCCCCAGCATCACATGTTCCAGATTCAACTACCTCTGAAAAAGAAAGTCCCATCTTGTCTGTGTGAAGCTTGGAGGGACATCTAAACACAAACCATAACAAGGCCCAAGGCCTATGCCTAGGTGGTGCCTCTGGCCTAGAGATGCAGGGTGTCTGCTTGATGTCTGGTATGGGCCTCACCCATTAGTCTTCTATCTGGCAGTTGTTACTGGCCATAGATAATCACCTGGATCCAATACTTCTTTACGGACTACAAAGCAGTAGTTGTTAGAATTCCGTTGTTGCAGTGCTATGGAGGACTCTTCCTCCTCATCCCTTTGATTACCCTGAGATATCAGTGGGACAGGGAAGGCAAGAAAATACCCATTTCCTCTTTTGTCCGTTTTCAAAATGCAGGCATTCCTCAGCTTCCAATGGGGTTCCACCTCCTCTCCGGTAACCCATCATTAACATCTGTGGAAAATGCATTTAGTACAACTGGCCTCACCTTGAATGTAAACCAAGTACTTGTGCTAGCATGGGGTTGGGCCAAACCATCAAGCACAGAATCTGTTTCTCTTAAAGTGCTGAATAGCTCATATTTATTGATCATTGTAAAGAAGAAAGTGAAAAACCCAGTGGTTGTATGGCTGTACTTTCACACCATGGTAAAATGTTAAAATTTCAAGTCAAACCCTATAATGAGGGCTGTCTGTCATGTGCACTAGCAATGACTGGGATGACCAGGGGCCTTCCCCACGCCCCAGCTGGGACGACCTCTGAGATGGGATGCAGTCAGTTGTAGGGTTTCTCTTGATGTCCACTTTGTCTGTCTTTGGTGGTGGGTGGCCCAAGGACAGCTCCTGAAGGCCTTGGACCCAGCTCTCTGCTCTACCTGGCTTCTTTCCTGGGCCCCTGGCTGCCCAGGCTCCTGCTGTGCATTTCCTGCCCTAGGCAGCCATCTCCCTTAGGGGCCTGCCTTCCTTTGTCAGCTTCCTGGCACTGTGACAGAATACTTGGGATAGTCAAAGAGGAAAGGTTTGATTTGGATCCCAGATTCAGAAGTATCAGTTCCCGAACACTTGGCCAGTGGCTTCAGGCTTGTGGGGGCACAGGACATGGTGGCAGAAGGAAGACACTGGAAGAGGAAGTGAAAGGGGAGAGGGGAAGCCCTGGGTTCTGACGTCCCTTCTGAGGGTACTTGCAGTGGCCTAAGCTCTGCAAGGCCCTGCCTTTTAATGGTGCCACCACTGGCCAGGAGTGAGGGCAGGGACCAAGCCTCAGCACAGTTTGGGACACACAAGGTCTACACCAGGACACTTGACTTAAAAGGTCAACTGTTGTCCCTGCAGGGGCTTTTGAATACACTGAGCTGAAGATGTTCATTTAGTTAAGGGTGTGTGTGGGGGTGCTAAAAAAAAAAGAGTTCATACATTTACTATCCAATTGAAAAACTTCTGATTTTACATTTTTTCCTGCCTATGATGACACTAGCATAACAATTATCTTTCTCCTTTTAACATACATGTAACATTTTCACAATAAGAATGTATTTAGTAGTGAGATGTACTAGCGTATACCTGTAATCACAGCATTCACAGCATTCTGGAAACTGAGGCAAGAGGACTGGAAGTTTGGGCTACTTAGCAAATTAGAAAGAACTGATCACAAAATTGAGAAAAAAATAATTTAAATGCTTGGGAATGTAGCTCAGTGTCAAAGCCCTGGGGTCAGTCATTAATAACAGATATGCAACAAATAAAAAAATTAAAAATAGATATTAAAAAGGCACTACTCTTTTTCCCTTCTGCCCTCCATCCTCCCTCAGCCCTTCCTCAGCTCCTCCAACAGCTCTGCAGTGAGGATCCCAGCATATGACACCCCGCACCCCAATTCACAAGGACTTCCTACAGCACCCATCTCATAATCCCCAGAGCTGTCACATGCCCAGCTCACCTTAGTGCTTCCTGTTCAGCCCTCTCCTCCCGGTCTTCTCCCTGTCCGTAGCCTCCTGCCATCCCTTGTGTGTGGAGAAGCCCTGCCTCTGGGTCAGGCAGCTGCACACGGACTCAGGGCTTGGTCCCGAGATCCCTGTGGGTTCTGGGGACACAGCAGAGTGGCACAGGGGTTATGGTACCTGAAGGCCCAGGCTCCTAGATTTACAGAGTCTTGCAGGGGCCAGCCTGAGGGGCTGTGGGCTTGGTAGTCTCAGGTTCCACCCTGCCAGCTGCTGTCCCAACCATGGAAAAGGGCTGTGCAGTGGGGACCCTGAGTGGCCACAGTTAGGTGACCCCAAGCCCGCCAGCTACTGAAAGGAGAACTCTTGACACGTGGCTTGTGGCATGTGGTCACTGCATGACATTTGTGGTTTTCAAGAGACACCACTCCCAGAAAACCTGAGTGGGGACTTCGCACTGCCCTCACCTCTGTGGTCAGTTCCCTCCTCACAAGCTCCAGCTCTTCTGCCCCCTCTGCCTCTCTCTGCCTGGCTGAGCCCCAGGCTCCTTGCTCCGGCCATGGCTGTGGCCAGGCATTCCTTCAGTGCAGCCCTCCAGGCTGGGCCAGAGCCCCTTGCCCACCCCTCACCACCCAGAGCCTCTCGTCCTCTCCTGGGCCTCACAGCCTGTGCTGCTCCCAGCCCCCAGGGCAGGTCAGTGGTGAGCTCAGAGGTCCTGGAGAACAGGTCAGCCACGCAGGGCCCAGGGACTCACAGCCGTGTATGAGAAGTCACACGGGGTCCCCCACCCACTCCCCCTGCTGCGCTCGAGGCACTTAGAGCTGGGGACAAGGCGTGTCTGTTCTGAAGGTGACCGCAGACCCTGGCAAAAGAGCCAGACACAGTGTACCCAGCACCCGCCAGGTGCCAGCCCTGCCAGCCCTCTGCCTGTACCACCTGCCTCTGCTCCCAGGCTGGCAGTACCCTGCACACGTGCACTGTGGGTACCAGGAGCGGCCTTCCCTGGGAAAGACGGAGGACCTCGCACCTGTCCCGTGTGTGGCTCTGTGCGTATTTCCTGTCCCTCAGCTCGTGCTTGTCTGTGGACATGACCTTGGCCCCAGCTCCATAAATACCTGAGGCCCACGGGGAAGGCCACCGGGGGCAGACACTCAGCATGGGTCGCCTGGAGCTCACCGTCGTGGGCCTCGCCTGCTGCTTGGCCGTGGCCAGTGCCGCAAAGGTAAGAGGGGCTCACGGAATGCCCGGTGCTGTGGCTTTGCCTGGTCTGTTTGTGCTGCAGGTGCTCTGGGAACTGTGGGGACAGGGCCTCGAGGAGGGAGGACAGTGAGTCGGAGGCAGAGAGCGGGAGCTGAGCAAGACCCCTTCAGGGATCCATCGTGGCCTGGGCACGGACCCTGCGCAGCCTCTGCCTGGCTCCTCTCACTCCTGTGATGTCCAGCACAGGTCCCAGCTGAGTTTGACTTCATAGCCACCAAGTGCAGGTGGTGGCGTTGATGCTTCTCCTGCAGTATATTGGCACAAGATCCCCTGTTGGTATGAAATTCAACTGCCCAAGGCACGGTGAAGTCCTATTTGCAATCGATAGTGATCCTATCTGTAACCCTCAGTGACCTCATCTTGTCCCCATTCTACAGAAGGAAGCAGGTGCCCAGGGCACAGAAGTGGATTTGCCAGCATCACACAGCAGCCAGTTCCTGTTCCCAAACAGGACTCAGAGACCTGCTGTAGCCCAAGCCGGGGGTGTGGCTCCTGGGGAAACTTTCATACGGGTACCTCCTAGAAGGAGCAAACCTCACCCTGTGTGCAGTGTTCCTCCCTGGGGTGTGCATTGAGGCCGCACCACTCAGCCAGGCCCCGTGCAGCACCCTCCACTTACCTGCCAGGGCAAGAGGACCAAGTGACAGAATAACAACAGTCATGTAGAGATGGTGGCCGTCTGGGCCCAGACCCCACAAGGACACATGCTCAGTCCCCAGCCAGAACACGGGCCTGTGCCCTGCTGACTGGGAACATGGGTTGGTCCAAATTTCCCTAGAATCAGAAAGCAAGACACCAGGGTGGGATGCAGTGACCAGGAAACAGGGCTGGGGTTCGGGAGCAGGAGCCCAACCCTCCCCCACTGTGGACAACAGGCCACTCCTGCCTTGTCTCCCGTTCCTCTGAGGCGGTCTCTGGGAGGCCCTGGCACGCGTTTAGGTCACCACCCAGGCTGCCCAGGCCCACAGTCCCTGACCCTGCAGTGTCTCACCCTAGCTGGGCCCGGTGTACACAGAAGGAGGGTTCGTGGAAGGTGTCAACAAGAAGCTCAGCCTTGTGGGCGTTGACTCTGTGGACGTCTTCAAGGGCATCCCCTTTGCCACCGCCAAGACCCTGGAGAACCCGCAGCGGCATCCTGGCTGGCAAGGTGAGCACAGGTCTGCTGGGCGTCTGTGCGTGGGTGCTGAGGGCAGCCACACCCTCACGCCATGCACTCCTGCCTCCTGCAGGGACCCTGAAGGCCACGGACCTCCAGACAGCATGCATGCAGACAACCTTCACAGAAGACAGCGTCTTTGGGGACCAAGACTGCCTCTACCTCAACATCTGGGTTCCCCAGGGCAGGGATCAAGGTCTGGCCCCGAACCCTGCGGGAATCCCCAAGCAGGAGCCGGGGCCCTGCAGAGGGGGGTGCTGGGGGCTGTAGATCAGAAGCCCCTGAATTCAGCCCAGATGTGGGGCTGGGTGTTCCTACCACTGATCCTCTACCTGGAGTGGGGGGCAGGGTGCCCGCTGCAAGGAGACACACAGAGCATTGGTTGGGAGACACAGGGCAGGCATCTGGGGGTCACCACCCTGCTCCCCACCTCAGTGTCCCAGGACCTGCCTGTGATGATCTGGATCTATGGCGGTGCCTTCTGGAAGGGCTCTAGCAGTGAGGACGGGGAGGAGATGGCCACCCGTGGCAATGTCATCGTGGTCACCTTCAACTACCGCGTCAGCACCTTGGGCTTCCTCAGCACCGGGGATGCCAACCTGCCAGGTGCCCTGGGTGCTCTGGGGCTGGCACAGCGGGTGTGACTGGTGCCCACGGGGTGCAGGCTCGGCTCATCATGCAGCCCAGCTCTGGGCCTGGATGACCACCCCTGTCCTGCTCTGCCCCCAGGGAACTACGGCCTTCGGGATCAGCACATGGCCATTGCCTGGGTGAAGAGGAACATCGCGGCCTTTGGGGGGGACCCCAACAACATCACCATCTTTGGGGAATCAGCTGGGGGTGCCAGCGTCTCCCTGCAGGTCTGGGGCTCCCCAGAGGGAAGGGCCTGACCCCAAGGTGGGGATGGAGCCAGGGAGGCCGGGGAAGATGGAAGCCGGAGAGGAGACTAAGCGGACGGGCTGGGGTGTGCTCAGCCTGGTGCAGCCGGGTGACAGGACTCCTGGCTGTCGCAGACCCTGTCCCCCTACAACAAAGGCCTCATCCGGAGAGCCATTAGCCAGAGCGGTGTGGCACTGAGCCCCTGGGCTATCCAGCGCAACCCACTCTTCTGGGCCCAAAGGGTAAGCGGAGGGGACGGGGTGGGCAGGGAGGAGTCTGACAGCCGCCCGGGGGGCCCTTCCCGGTCCTCACTCTCTGTCCTACCCCATGAGCCATGCAGTGCCTGCTCCCTGGCCTCACCTAACCACCCACCTGCACCCGTCCCCAGGTCGCTGAGAAGGTGGGCTGCCCCACGGACGATACCGCCAGGCTGGCCCAGTGTCTGAAGATTACAGACCCCCGGGCCCTGACTTTGGCCTATCACGTTCCCTTCAGTAAAGAGGAATGTGAGTGAGGGTTTCAGGTTGGGGCTCTAGAATTTCTGGAGCCAGGAAGCCACTCCGGGGGTAGGCCAGGCACCTATAGGAGAGAGGAACGTGCTGGGGCCAGGGCCCAGGCCTATTACTAACTTCTGGGTGCCCAGCAGCTTGCTGGCAGGCCTAGCAGGACCCCAAGTAATAGGGGAAAGAAGCTGTCCCTGTTTCTGCTCCTCTCGTCCTTCAGCCTTGAGTGTCTGCTGTAGAAGCTGATGCACACACGGTCCCTATCAGGCCCCAGACGGTACACAGCCTTGCAGCCCCTTTTCCTGCTTTTCGGGGAATTCCCAAACTCAGAAACAGCCAGGTGCTTGTGATACAATCTTCTGGGCTTCCCCCGCTCGTTAATCCTGTAAACTCTACTCACCACCTGCAGTAATGGAGGCCTTGCCAGCAGGACCCAGCGGAGACCCTAGAAATGCCAGATGCCAGCACAGCAGTGCAGCTCCCTCTTGCTCTGTCTCTTTAGCCAGATGTGCCCGCTCATTGGCATCTTACAGAATGGGCACTAAATTGTATTTGTTGAGAAAGAAAAACTGAAGCAAATGCTATGGCCCCAATGCAACTCCCTTATTTTTTTTCCTGTTCATGCTGTTGGGGATCAAACTCGGGACTGGTGCATGCTGAGCTTTGCATCCCTGTGCCGAGCTCCTGGCCCTGCCAACCGATATTGTTTGGGGCCTGCTGTAGAAAAGCTTTGTGGGACCTGGGGAAAGCTGGGGCCCCACCTGCCCAACCCAGGTACCTGGTGCTCTGGGGCCAGCAGAGGGTCCCAGTGAGATACCGGCCACCCACAGTGGATGGATTCCAAAGGAGACCCCAAACCATGGGAGAGGGCAACTCTTCTCTGAGGCTGAAGGTCTTCCGTGCCTTTGGTCAAGTCCAGGGAGAACACAAGAAGGGGAAGGAGGGACAGCCCTGAGCCCTAAGCAGTGTGCTCTCCATGTGGGGCCGCGTCACAGCTTCCGGACACATTTAGGATGGTCACCGGGGGAGAAGGGAGCCACAGGCATGTGGTGGGCTGGAGCAGGGACGCAGCCGAACCCCACGCTACAGGCCAGCCCTGCCCGGGGTAGGACTCTCCAGGCCTGAGGCCTCAGGCCGGGCTTGAGAAGCGGTGGTCTAGGCCCAAGAAGGAAGTAGATGAGCTCTGGATATAAAGGGAGGGCCCGAAGTGCTGGAGGCTCAGGAACCTGCTCCCTCTCTCCCAGATCCTTCATTTCACTATCTGGGCCTTCGCCCTGTCATCGATGGAGACTTCATCCCCGATGAGCCTGTCAACCTGTTCTCCAACACTGCTGACATCGACTATTTATCAGGCTCCAATAGCATGGATGGCTACTTTCTTGCTGTTGTCGATGTGCCAACCATCCAGGAGTCCAACAAGGACACCACAGTGTAAGCAGGGGTCCAGGACCCATGGGCAGCATGTGCTTGGCACAGCTGAGGAGGAGCTGCCTGGGGCAGAAGCCATCAGCACAGGGGAGACTGAGGAAGGTGGCGCTGTGTTAGCTGGGTACACAGACGGCCTCCTGGTGGCTGTAGGGGCACAGTCTGGTGCCTGCTCGGTCCCTGCAGGGAGGACTTCTACTGGCTGGTCAGTGGGTTCACCACGAGCAAGGGGCTGGATGGCGCCCGGGCCGCCTTTGACGTCTACACCGAGCGTTGGGCTCAGGACCCATCCCAGGAGACCAAGAAGAAGACCGTGGTGGACCTGGAGACCGACGTTCTCTTCCTGATTCCCACGGAGACATCCCTGGCCCAGCACAGAGCCACTGCCAAGTGAGGGTGTGGGAAGGGTGTGGCTTCCTGGGGCAGGGATCTTCTAGGGCGGTGCGCCTACCTGCCATGGCCAACAAAGGAACTCATGAGGTCCGAGCTTCCCCACTGAAGGGAAACCTGCGTAGAGATAAGGTGTGAAGGCATGTGGAGAAAATACAAACCTTTGTGGACACTGAATCACAGGAGGAAGGAAGGTGCCTCCTAATTCTCTGTATGGCGGTGGCTTTGGTAGCTCATAGGCTAAAATGGCACAAACGCTTGTCCAGGTGAGGTAAAAGCACAAGTGAAATTGTACAGTCAGAGAGCTTGGGTGTCCACTTTCCCTCTGCCAGGTTTCAGCACCTCAGTTTCCCATGAGTCTTGGTCGGTACCCTGTCAGGACCCATCTCTGGCCAGGCAGTCCCAGGTAGCCAGCTCCTAACCCAGGCTGTGTTTCCTCCCCTCAGGAGTGGCAGGACCTACTTCTACCAGTTTTCTCTGCCCTCTCGGGATCCAGGCTCTCCCAAATGGCTGGGGGCCAACCATGCTGTTGAAATGGCCTATTTGTACGGAGAGCCTTTCACTAAGCCCGAGTTGTACCAGCCTCAAGACAGGACCCTCTCCAAGGCCATGATCGCCTACTGGACCAACTTTGCCCGCAGTGGGTAAGGCATGGACTCAAGGCTGGGGCCCAAGGCAGCAGGCTAAAGGACCTACTACTATGGCCCTGGATCCCCTGGGTTCTAGTCCAGTTCCATCATTCAACAGCAGGGAGGTGTTGGACAGGTTGCTTAACCTCCCTGAGCCTTAGCGTTCTTCACTGTGCAGGGACCCCAACGTGGGCCACTCTGCTGTACCCACTCACTGGTACCCCTACACCACGGAGAAAGGCAACTACCTGGACATCACCAGCACGCTAGACAGCAGCTCCATGAAGGAGCACCTGAGGACCAAGTTTCTACAGTTCTGGACCCTGACCTACCAGGCGCTGCCCACTGTGCACCAGCAGATGAGCCCTGTGCCTGCTGCAGACGACTCTGAGTCTGCTCCCATGTCCCGGGCAGATCTCTCCCAAGCACGTCAGATGTCCATCGCCTTTGGATTCTAGTGTTCATGTCTGGTCCCATTTGGTCATAGGTTTGGGCCCCCGGGGCTGCTTCTCCTTGACTCTTCCTAAATAAAACCCCAACTCTCCACATCTGGTCTTTGTCTTTGCTCCTGGGATAAGACCCGGGGAAGGAGAGGCCATAGGTCATTCTTAACAGAAACAGGTATTTGGACCAACCCCAACCCATCACCTTGGTCAGTCTGCAGCCTCCACAAAGTCCACAGCACAGTCCTCATCTTAGAGAAGAGGAGCCCTGTCTGGAGCAGTTGAGGGTGGGGTCTTTTGTTGGCAGGAATTAGCACTCTCGTCCTGACCGACTCTCACCCGGCCTCATCCAGGGTCCTTAGCTGGATGCATGCTTACCAGGCCTCTGGTAAAGTGGTGGCGCCTTTGGGGTGAAAACCACGGAACAAGGATTCAAGGGAAGCAGGGACCCAGCTGCAGGGGGCAGGAGAGCATATGCAAAGGCCCAGTGGAGCCTCACTGGCTGCAGTCTCAAGTCTTTCCAGACAGGGAAACACCATAGCAAAGGAGCAAGGATTCCCAGAGGACTCCTGCCTAAGGCAAAGCTAGGCCGCAGTCCCTACGAGGCATGAAGTGGCAAAGTCCTGCTGGTCCTGGGCTGTCACTTTTCCTCTGGTCTTCTCCCTTTCACACTGCATGCTTGATCTCTTTGCAGCTACTCTTACTTAGTGCTGAATTCCTGAATACGACTTGGAATCTACAAGATCCTAAGTGGTGGGGAAAGCCCCAGTAACACAGCTTTCATCGATTGTCTTCCCAAAGCTGTGGATGGGCAAGCCACCATCTTGTGTCATGAGATGGTCGTTGCACATAATGGTTTTAAATGTTGTGAAAAACTCCTTATAATGTAGACAAATATATGCCTATAATCCCAGCCACTTGGGAGGCTGAGACAAGATAATTAGAAGTTTGAGGCCAGCTTGGGAAAGTAAGTGAAACCCTGTCTCAAAATAAAATACTACAAATGGGGTGGAAACCAGACATGGTGGAGCACATCTGTAATCCCAGATCTCTGGGAGGCTGATGTAGGAGGATGGAATGTTTGAGTCCAGCAGGGAAATTCAGTGGGTTAGTAAGACACTATCTCAAAAGAAAACAACCAAAGAAACAAACAAACCCCTTTAAAAGGGCTGGGATGTAGGTCAGTCTGCAAGTCCTGAATTCAGTTCCTAATAAAAGACACATACATGGGCACACACACACACACACACACACACACACACACACACACAATAAATAAATAAATAAAAATAAAAGTTTAAAAGTAGAAATAAACTTTATTGGTCCTCAGGAATTGTTGATATTCATTTTGTCCTTAATACTATAGTTGATGCTACTTTTATTACTATACCCAAGGTCACATGCCTATTGCTATTCGTTGGTTGTCTTGAGATGCCAATATTTAGATTGCCTTGGTGTCCTTAATACGTAAGGTGGCCCATTGCAGGAGAACTGGATACTTGGCTGAACACACTGCAATCTCCCTTTTAATGTCTATAGACGTGGTTGGATTCATGGACAGAGGTTAAAGGCCAGTAGTTAGCTATGCCCAGAGGACACCAATGAAAAGGACACATTAATGAAGGAGGACTTCACACCAGTAACAACTTTCGCATACAAAAAACCCTGCAAGCCTCCACACAAGACAGACACACAAACACACAAAAATAGAAACCTGAGACAAGCAAAAGAATGCCTCCTCGACCTCTCAACTTCCTCAAAGCTGATCCATGGGACATGGCGGGAGATAAGGCTATTGTCAGTGATCAATTAATGAGAGATACCTTAAAAACAATCAGAGAACATGGAAAATAGAGTAGATCCAGCAGGTCCTAGATGATGTAAAGAAGACTACAGTGAGATGAATTAAAAGCATTGGAAAATGAGAAGAGAACATAAATGGCATTACAAAACCTGTTTATGAAAATGATAGGCAAGAACAATGAACATAACACAAAAACATTTCACATACAGGTAAGTAAAGTCTATAGAACCCCAATAGCCACAAGCAGAAAAGAACTTCTCTACAACGCATCATAGTCAAACTTCTAGAAGTCAAGAACAGAATCTTGAAAGCTCTGACAGAAAAGCAATGCATCACTAATGAAGGAAAACTCCCCTAGTTATAGCAGACTCTTCCACACAAGACTGGCCAGGAGAGTGTGGAGTGAAGCATCTCCATCCCTGAAGCATCTCCATCCCTGAAAGAAGACAGTTTCCAACCCAGGCTGATATCTCCTGCACAAGCATCTTTCCAAATTGATGGAGAAATAAGATACTTTCATGATAAAGAGCACCTAAAGAAATTCATGACCACCAAACCAGCACTCCAACACATTCTCAAGGATACCCTAGAGAGGAGAACAAAGCTGACATTTCAAAAAGTCTCTTAGCATAAACACATGGAAAAGGGCAAACAGTTAAGTAGAAGGGAGACATAGTCAATCAACAGCAGTACAGGAAGGCAGTGACAGGAAGAAGTCAGTACCCTTCAGCAAAAACTCTCAATGTGAATGGTCTCAACTCCTTGATCGAAGGACACAGACTGGCAGAACGGAACAAGGAATAAAATCCAACAATATGTGGTAAGCAAGAAACACATCTACGCTTAAAAGAAGCTCATCAACGAAAAATCAGTGGGTGGAAAACCATGTTCCATTCAACAGGATCCCGATGAAGAGCAGGTGAAGCTGCCTTAAATTAGGACAAGTGGAATTCAAGCCAAAGCTGATGAAAAGAGGCAAAGCAGGTCACTACGCATGGATTGAGGGTACGATGCAACAGGGAGAGATGATGATTATTAGCATACATGCACCAAACAACAGTGCCCCAATTTCGTAAAGTCAGCTGCTGGACAGAAGAGATCAGGTAAGCATAAACACAGTTATTGTGGGGGTCTCAATACCCCACTATCACAAATTGATCAAATACATGCAGAAAATCAACAAAGAAATTCCAGATTTGAACAAAACTTTCAAGCAAGTGGCCTTCATAGATATTTGCCATGTTTCACCCAACTACAACAGAATACACATCCTATCAGCACCACCTGCAACTTTCTTCTAAATAGACCACATGCTAGCCAAGAAATCGACGATAAGTAAATGTCAAGGAATTGAAATTATACCGGGCATATTATCAGACCATAGTGCAATGTAATTAGGAGTCACCATCAAAAGAAACAACAAAAGGAAAACAGAAATTCTACAAATACACAGGGACTAAACAGTATACACTTAAGTAAGCAATGGGATAGAGGAAAAAAATCAAAGAGAAAACAGGACAGTTTCTAGAACTACATGATAGTGCCAGTAAAATATACTGGAATGTATGGGGCTCAACAAAGGCAGTCCCAAGATGGAAATCTGTAGCTGTGCACGTTAACATCACAAAAACAGCAAGAGACCAAATACTTGACTTAACAATGCACTACAAGTTCCCGCTAAAAAAACGAGAACACTCCAAAGCCAGATTAAGTACAAAGAAGAAAGTTACAAAGATCAAAGCAGATATCAGTGAAACTGACACCAAAAACAAAAACAAAAAGAAAAATACCACAAAGAGTTAAAGAATCTAAGTGTTGGCCTTCAAAAACAAACAAACAAAAAAATACAGCAGACAAAATGTTATGGAATTTAAACAAAATAAAACAATCAAAAAACAATGCCCCCCAAATAAAGGAAAAGACTCAAATCACTGCAATTAGAAATGAAAGAGAAAAAAACCAAAATGTATACTGCAAAAAAAAAAAAAAATTGTTAAGAACAGTATCACAAACCTCCACACCAATGAGCTGGAGAATTCAGTTTATTGAGATAGACCAATTCCTAGAGATAGATGAATCACCAAGATTCAACCAACAAGTATAAAAAACTGAATAAACCAACAAGGAACAATGGAGTCAAAGCAGTAATAACCCACTAAGAAGAAGCCAGGTCTGGATGGGTTTGATGCTGAATTCCACAAGGCTTCAAGAATTCTGATACTGGCCGGGCGTGGTGGCACATGCCTGTGATCCCAGCACTCAGGAGGCTGAGGCAGGAGGATCGCTGTGAGTTTGAGACCAGCCTGAGCTACATAGTGAGTTCCAGGTCAGTCTCAACTGCATAGTGAGACCCTGTCTCAAAAAACAAAAAAAAAAAAAAAAAGAATTCTGATACCAATATTCCTCAAGTCTGTGTATGAAACTTAAGGGAGGGAGTGCTGCTAAGGTCATTCCTGGCATTCTTGGAAGTTTGCATTGCCTTGATTCCAAAATCAGATGAACAAACAAACAAACAAAAAGAAGAACTCTAGACTAATCTCTTTAATGAATACAGATGCAAAAGTCCTTAAGATATCGTGAAGCAGAAGGCAACAAATCATTGAAAGGACCATGCATCATGACCAAGTAGGCTTCACCCCAGGGATGCAAGGATGGTTCAACGTACCTAAGTCACATGATCATCCCCACCAATGAAGATGAAGCCTTTCACAAAACCCACCATCCTTTCCTCATAAAAACACGGGAAATGAAGTCTAGGGAGATGATAGCTCAGTCTGATAAACTCATTTATAACGAATTGACTGCCAGAATCATATTAAATGAAGAAAACCTGAAAGCTTTCCCTGTCAAATCGGGAATAAGACAAGGATGTCCATGATTGTCACTCCTGTTCAACACAGTATTAGCAAAAGCAATTAAGCTGGAAAAGGGGAAAAAGGAATGTGTTTAGAAATGCTAAAGTCAAGTTATCATTGCTTGCAGATGACATGAGCTTCTACATAGAGGATCCCCAAATGCACCAAAAGACTCGTAGGAGTTATCTCCAAATTTGGGGACGTACCCGTGTGTATAGCATGTACACAGAAATCAATAGTGTCCTGTACACTAAAAATGAACCCACCGAGAGAGATGTTAGGGGAAAGTACCACCATTCACAATAGCACGAAGAAAAATGAAATACTTACAAGTTAACGGAAACAAGAAAGTGAAGGACGTCTACAAAGAAAACTGCAGAACGCTGAAAAAAATTCCTCTCTTTTTAGAATAGCACATTAAAGACGAATGATCCTTAAAAAGGAGGCCTCGTTTTCACTCTGCCTGCTGCCCACTACCCTCCTCTCCGTCCCTCCTCCGTCTCCTCCAACAGCCCCACGGTGAGGATCCCAGCACCCACCCCTGTGCCCCGATTCACAAGGACTTCCTGTAGCACCCATCGCACCATCCCAGGAGCTGTCACAACCCAGATCACACAGCATTTCCTGTTCAGAGCCCCTCCCTGCTCTTCCCCATGTCCCCTCCACCCTCCCGCTGTCCCCAGCTTCCTGCTATCCCTTGTGTGTGGAGAAGCCCTGCCTATGGGTCAGGCAGCTGCGCGCACAGACTCAGGCCTGGGACCCGAGATCCCCGCGGGATCCAGGGACACCACAGGGTGGCACAGGGCTTGAGGCTGCCCTGGAGGCCCAGGCTCCCGGATGGCATAGAGCCTAGCCGGGCCCAGCCTGTGAGGTTGTGGACCTGGGTGGCCTCGGGATCCACCTGGCCAGCTGCTGTCCCCACGTCTGAAGAGGGCTGGAGAGACCCCAAGTGACCACAGAGGTGACCCCGAGCCCGCCAGCTCCTGAAAGGAGCACTCTTGACACGTGGCTCGTGGCATGTGGTCACTGCGTGACCTGTGTGGTTTTCAAGAGACACCATTCCCAGAAAACCTGAGTGGGGACTTCGCACTGCCCTCACCTCTGTGGTCAGGTCCCTCCTCACAAGCTCCAGCTCTTCTGCCCCCTCTGCCTCTCTCTGCCTGGCTGGGCCCCAGGCTCCTTGCTCCGGCCATGGCTGTGGCCAGGCATTCCTTCAGTGCAGCCCTCCAGGCTGGGCCAGAGCCCCTTGCCCACCCCTCACCACCCAGAGCCTCTCGTCCTCTCCTGGGCCTCACAGCCTGTGCTGCTCCCAGCCCCCAGGGCAGGTCAGTGGTGAGCTCAGAGGTCCTGGAGAACAGGTCAGCCACGCAGGGCCCAGGGACTCACAGCCGTGTATGAGAAGTCACACGGGGTCCCCCACCCACTCCCCCTGCTGCGCTCGAGGCACTTAGAGCTGGGGACAAGGCGTGTCTGTTCTGAAGGTGACCGCAGACCCTGGCAAAAGAGCCAGACACAGTGTACCCAGCACCCGCCAGGTGCCAGCCCTGCCAGCCCTCTGCCTGTACCACCTGCCTCTGCTCCCAGGCTGGCAGTACCCTGCACACGTGCACTGTGGGTACCAGGAGCGGCCTTCCCTGGGAAAGACGGAGGACCTCGCACCTGTCCCGTGTGTGGGTCTGTGCGTATTTCCCGTCCCCCAGCTCGTGCTCGTCTGTGGACATGACCTTGGCCCCAGCTCCATAAACACCTGAGGCCCACAGGGAAGGCCACCGGGGGCAGACACTCAGCATGGGTCGCCTGGAGCTCACCGTCGTGGGCCTCGCCTGCTGCTTGGCCGTGGCCAGTGCCGCAAAGGTAAGAGGGGCTCACGGAATGCCCGGTGCTGTGGCTTTGCCTGGTCTGTTTGTGCTGCAGGTGCTCTGGGAACTGTGGGGACAGGGCCTCGAGGAGGGAGGACAGTGAGTCGGAGGCAGAGAGCGGGAGCTGAGCAAGACCCCTTCAGGGATCCATCGTGGCCTGGGCACGGACCCTGCGCAGCCTCTGCCTGGCTCCTCTCACTCCTGTGAGGTCCAGCACAGGTCCCAGCTGAGTTTGACTTCATAGCCACCAAGAGCAGGTGCTGGCGTTGATGCCTCTCCTGCAGTATTTGGAGCCGGTATGGTAAAATGTCTTCATCTGATCTGAAATTCAAACATACCCATGTCCCCTGAAGTCCTATTTTCCATGTCTGGGGAACCTGTCTATAACACCCCAGCAATCTCAGCCTGCCCTGCTTTACAGAAACATAACAGTTTGCTCAATGTGACCCGGGAACTATCTCCTCTACCCAAAGAGGAGTCCTAGACCAGGTCTAATCCATTCTGGAGTCTGGCTTCTCGTGTAGCCTCCGTTCCACTGTCCTCCTGGTTTTCCTCACCCCTTCCTGCCTGTGTGACTTGCTCTTGAACCTGGATATTGGGACACTGGTCCTGAGGCCCCCACCCTGAGGTCCTCAGGCCAATCTCCTCCTCACGGACCCTTCTTAGAGTCACCTTCCAGTCCCTCAGGCACTGACCTGGCTCTCTGTTCCTTCTCAGAGGCCCTGGGTGCTGGAACAAGGAAGTTCGAATACCAGTGCTGCCCAAGGCACCTGGTAGTGGTTGTTTCTGGCTTCTTCCTCTCCAGTTCCTGCCTGCCTCACTTTCCCTCCCAGGGTGACATCAGCCTGATCTCCAGAGGGCTGCTAGGACATGGCTGGGTCCACGGGTGCAGGCCACCCTGCTTTTCCCAATCTAGGACCTGGCACAGGTGAGAGGTAGGAAGCAGTAGTGGGCACCAGTGTGTGGGCCAACAGGGCAGCTCTAGAGCTCCACCTCAACAGGTAGACGGTGGCACTGGGAAGGGACAGAAGCTGGGCTCTGAGGTTGGACAGCCATGTCCCAGCAGTGTGACCTGGAGGAAGAGAATCCTGAGTCTCTGTCCCCTCGGTGGGCAGTCGAGCACCTCAGGGGGCAGTGGGGACACAGCAGCAGTTCTGATTGCCTGAGCAGGGGCGTAGTCCACACACAGGTGTGGCAACGTGGACATTGGGCGACCGACACCATGCCAAGCCTGCCATGTACCGGGAGAGGAAGGGAGGAGAAAGCAAAAGGGCCACCCTTTGGACAGCTCAGGACTGGGGAGGAAACATTTTTCACCCTCTCTGTCTGATGCACTGAGCACCCACACTGTCCGAAAGAAGGAGAGAGTCTCTGGTGTGTCCCAGCTTACACACGGGGAAACTGAGGCTCCCTGTTGCAGGAAGGCAGCCATAGCTGGAACCAAGGCTTCTGAGCTAGTGGAGTGGAGGCGTGGATCGGTACAGCGTCCCCAGTCCCAGGGAGCAGGATGCCCAAGGGTGGGCTGCAGGTACAGGAGCCTGCCCCTCCACACTGTGGATGAGAGGCCAAGCCCACCTTCTGTCCGCTCCTCTGAGGCGGTCTCTGGGAGGCCCCGGGATGCCGGCGCCTGTTCAGGTCACCACTCAGGATTCAGGCTGCCCAGGCCCACAGTCCCTGACCCTGCAGTGTCTCACCCTAGCTGGGCCCGGTGTACACAGAAGGAGGGTTCGTGGAAGGTGTCAACAAGAAGCTCAGCCTTTTGGGCGGTGACTCTGTGGACGTCTTCAAGGGCATCCCCTTTGCCACCGCCAAGACCCTGGAGAAGCCGCAGCGGCATCCTGGCTGGCAAGGTGAGCACAGGTCTGCTGGGCGTCTGTGCGTGGGTGCTGAGGGCAGCCACACCCTCACGCCATGCACTCCTGCCTCCTGCAGGGACTCTGAAGGCCAAGGACTTCAAGAAGCGATGCCTGCAGGCCACCATCACCCAGGACAGCACTTACGGGCAGGAAGACTGCCTCTACCTCAACATCTGGGTTCCCCAGGGCAGGAAGCAAGGTCTGGCCCCACACCCGGTGGGAATCCCCAAGCAGCAGCCGGGGCTCTGCACTGGGGGGTATTGGTGTGTGCAAAACAGAAGCCCCTGAATTCAGCCCGCAGGGGCAGCCAGGTGGCTCCCACTACTGGTCCCCTGCCTGGGGCAGGGTGCCTGCTGCGAGGAGACAGACTGGACTGGCCTAGGAGACACAGGGCAGGCATGGGGGGGTCACACCCTGCTCCCCACCTCAGTGTCCCAGGACCTGCCTGTGATGGTCTGGATCTACGGCGGTGCCTTCCTCATGGGGGCCGGGCATGGGGCGAATTTCCTCAACATCTACCTGTATGACGGGGAGGAGATTGCCACCCGTGGCAACGTCATCGTGGTCACCTTCAACTACCGCGTCGGCCCCCTGGGCTTCCTCAGCACCGGGGATGCCAACCTGCCAGGTGCACTGGGTGCTCTGGGGCTGGCACAGCGGGTGTGACTGGTGCCCACGGGGTGCAGGCTCGGCTCATCATGCAGCCCAGCTCTGGGCCTGGATGACCACCCCTGTCCTGCTCTGCCCCCAGGGAACTACGGCCTTCGGGATCAGCACATGGCCATTGCCTGGGTGAAGAGGAACATCGCGGCCTTTGGGGGGGACCCCAACAACATCACCATCTTTGGGGAATCAGCTGGGGGTGCCAGCGTCTCCCTGCAGGTCTGGGGCTCCCCAGAGGGAAGGGCCTGACCCCAAGGTGGGGATGGAGCCAGGGAGGCCGGGGAAGATGGAAGCCGGAGAGGAGACTAAGCGGACGGGCTGGGGTGTGCTCAGCCTGGTGCAGCCGGGTGACAGGACTCCTGGCTGTCGCAGACCCTGTCCCCCTACAACAAAGGCCTCATCCGGAGAGCCATTAGCCAGAGCGGTGTGGCACTGAGCCCCTGGGCTATCCAGCGCAACCCACTCTTCTGGGCCCAAAGGGTAAGCGGAGGGGACGGGGTGGGCAGGGAGGAGTCTGACAGCCGCCCGGGGGGCCCTTCCCGGTCCTCACTCTCTGTCCTACCCCATGAGCCATGCAGTGCCTGCTCCCTGGCCTCACCTAACCACCCACCTGCACCCGTCCCCAGGTCGCTGAGAAGGTGGGCTGCCCCACGGACGATACCGCCAGGCTGGCCCAGTGTCTGAAGATTACAGACCCCCGGGCCCTGACTTTGGCCTACAGATTGCCCTTGGTAGCTCAGGAGTGTGAGTGGGGGCTTTCAGGTGGGATGTGAGTGTGCAGGAGTGGGGAGGCCTCTCCGGGGGAGGCCAAGTGCCCGCAGAATACAGGAACCTGCTGGGGCTGGGGCCTGAACCACTCACCCACTCTGGGTCCCTAGCAGTTGGCATCAGGTGTGGGCACAGTGGAAATGGGAGGGTATCACTGGCCCCCCTCTCCTCTGAGTCCTAAGTGACCCGCCTGGAAGCTGATGAACACATGGTCTGTACCAGGTCCCTAATCATGCAGAGATACAGCCTTCGCTCCCACTGTTAGGGCGATGCCGCGACCCCAGACCAAGGCCCCGTGGCTGCGTGTAACGCGGCTTTCCATCCGCCCCTCCTTCATCAGGCAAACCTGACTCACCGCCTGCGGTCATGTCACCTCTCCCGGGCAGTGCAGTTCCCTCCTGCTGTTGGCCAGACGAAGGCAAAGCAAATGCTATGGCCCCCGATCCTTTTTTCTTCTTTTCTTTATCTTTTTTTTGTTTATGCTGCTGGGGATCAAACTCGGGTCTGGTGCATGCTGAGCTTTGCATCCCTGTGCCGAGCTCCTGGCCCTGCCAACCAGGAGGGTCTGCTGTAGAAAAGCTTTGCGGGACCTGGGGAAAGCTGGGGCCCCACCTGCCCAACCCAGGTACCTGGTGCTCTGGGGCCAGCAGGGGGTCCCAGTGAGATACCGGCCACCCACAGTGGATGGATTCCAAAGGAGACCCCAAACTATGGGAGAGGGCAACTCTTCTCTGAGGCTGTAGGTCTTCCGTGCCTTTGGTCAAGTCCAGCGAGAACACAGGAAGGGGAAGGAGGGACAGCCCTGAGCCCTAAGCAGTGTGCTCTCCACGTGGGGCCGCGTCCCAGCTTCCGGACACATTTAGGATGGTCACCGGGGGAGAAGGGAGCCACGGACATGCGGTGGGCTGCGGCAGGGACGCAGCCGAACCCCACGCTACAGGCCAGCCCTGCCCGGGGTAGGACTCTCCAGGCCTGAGGTCTCGGGCCGGGCTTGAGAAGCGGTGGTCTAGGCCCAAGAAGGAAGTAGATGAGCTCTGGATATAAAGAGAGGGCCCGAAGTGCTGGAGGCTCAGGAACCTGCTCCCTCTCTCCCAGATCCGATAGTGCAGTATCTGGGCTTTGTCCCTGTCGTGGATGGAGACTTCATCCCCGATGACCCGCTCAACCTGTTCTCCAACGCTGCTGACATCGACTACTTAGCAGGCACCAACAGCATGGATGGCCACCTATTCGCCACCATCGACATGCCAGCCGTCGACAGATTCTACAAAAACATCTCGGAGTAAGCAGGGGTCCAGGACCCACGGGCAGCATGTGCTTGGCACAGCTGAGAAGGAGCTGCCTGGGGCAGAAGCCATCAGCACAGGGGAGACTGAGGAAGGTGGCGCTGTGTTAGCTGGGTACACAGACGGCCTCCTGGTGGCTGTAGGGGCACAGTCTGGTGCCTGCTCGGTCCCTGCAGGGAGGACTTCTACTGGCTGGTCAGTGGGTTCACCACGAGCAAGGGGCTGGATGGCGCCCGGGCCGCCTTTGATGTCTACACTGAGCGGTGGGCTCAGGACCCATCCCAGGAGACCAAGAAGAAGACCGTGGTGGACCTGGAGACCGACGTTCTCTTCCTGATTCCCACGGAGACATCCCTGGCCCAGCACAGAGCCACTGCCAAGTGAGGGTGTGGGAAGGGCGTGGCTTCCTGGGGCTTCCTGGGGATCTTCTAGGGCCGTGCGCCTCCCTGCCATGGCCAACAAAGCAACAAACTGAGGTCTAGCTTCCCCCCATCAGGGCAGAATGGGAGGCAGTGAGGCACATGTCCTGTCCCATCGAGTGAAAGTGGAAACACATGCAGAGGAGACAAAGCCTTGTTGGTACTGAGCCATGAGAGCAAGGTACCTCAAATGCTCTGTGCAGGTCTCCCTTTGACAGCTCATATGCTAAATGTGGGGAAAACACTGTACGTGTGAGGAATAAGCACTATAGAAACTAGAATCCGGGCTTGGACACTGCTTTCCCTGCACCAGATGTGAGGAGCCGTTTCCCCACGAGTCCTGGGGTCTCCCCAGACCTTCCCCCTAGCCTCCCCCACGGCCTGTCTGTCAGGCCAGCCTCCACCCAGGCTGTTTCCTCCCCTCAGGAGTGGCAGGACCTACGCCTACCTCTTTTCTATGCCCTCTCGGATGCCCATCTACCCCAAATGGATAGGGGCTGACCACGCAGATGACATCCAGTACGTCTTTGGAAAGCCCTTCGCCACCCCCCTGGGATACCGGGCTCAAGACAGGACCCTCTCCAAGGCCGTGATCGCCTACTGGACCAACTTTGCCCGCAGTGGGTAAGGCGTGGACTTCAGCTTCCAGGACCCCACCAGCGCGGTGGCCCTGCAGGCCTGTGTTCTGGTCCTTGTTCCTCACCAGCGGGGAGACAGGGAAGGGTGCTGACATCTTATCTATGTGAGGGTCCAAGCCACAGGCTGAGCACTAAAGTCCACGAGCTGCTCAGCCAGGGTTAAGTCTCAGAGGCCCGAGGGCCATGCAGAGAGCTGGCCGGGAGTCTCCAGGCTCCTGGGACCCTCCGCCTCCACTCAGCCCATTGTCACTCTGCAGGGACCCCAACGTGGGCCACTCCGTTGTACCCACTCACTGGTACCCCTACACCACGGAGAATGGCAACTACCTGAACATCACCAGCACGCTAGACAGCAGCTCCATGAAGGAGCACCTGAGGACCAAGTTTCTGCAGTTCTGGGCCCTGAACTACCAGGCGCTGCCCACCGTGGTTGCCAGGGCAACCCTTGTGCCTCCTGTGGACGACTCTGAAGCTGTCCCTGTGCCTCCTGCGGATGGCTCCCAGGCCCCTCAGGCCCCTCAGGCCCCCTCAATGCCTGTAGCCATTGGCTTCTAGTGTCCATGTGTCTGGTCCCAAGTGGCCAAAGGTTGGGTTCCCTGGGCTGCCTCCTCTTCTGAGCTCTTCCTGAATAAAACCCATCTCTCTTCATCTAGCCTTTGTCTTTTGATCCCACAACTCAGATAGAAGAAGGAGAGGCCTGTGGCCTTCTGGTCAGGGATGGCGAACCTTTTAGAGACCGAGTGCCCAACTGCAACCCAAAACCCACTTGCTCATCGCAAAGTGCCAGCCCTGCAGTCGGAGTGCTGCAGTTTCAGTGAAGAACCAGCTCACACCACTTGTGATGTCATCTCAGTGCTGCTGTGCATATCCCACAGTTTTGCCACCACTGCCATTGGCCGTGCGTAACAGGAGGAGGTGCTTGGTCGGGTGTCGCCCTGTCATTTGGGAGTCCCCAGCCTCCAGGAAGTCTTCCACAGCACCGTCCTCATCTTAGGAGGAGCCCTGTCCAGAGCAGTTTTGCTGGCAGGAAGCAGCACTCTGGTCCTGGCCACACCCCACTGAGCCTCACCCAGAGGCCCCAGGGTGGGCTCAGGGGACCTGGTAGTGTGGTGGGACTATGTGGGACACTTCGGGGTACAATTGATGAACGAGATGCAAGGGAAGCAGGAGCCCAGCTGCAGGGGGCAGGACAGCATATGCAAAGGCCCAGTGTAGCCTCACTGGCCGCATCTCGTCTTTCCAGACAGGGAACCAGCATAAAAATGGAGCAGGATTCCCGCAGGACTCCTGTCTGAGGGAAAGCCAGGCCACAGTCCCTACAAGGCATGAAGCAGGTGAGCTCACTGTGGTCCCCAGGCTGTCACTCTTCCTTGCGCCTTCTATCCACACTGCATGCTTGATCTCTTTGCAGTTGTCCTTACTTAGTGCTGAATTCCTGAATACGACTCGGAATCTACAAGTTTCCAGTGGTATTTAGGGCCTCAGCCAGCATGAAATGCAGCTTTTCTCGCCAAGTGTTGGTAGGCTGCTGCTGTCTTGGGACAGGAAATGGTCATCACAAACGTTTTTTAAAAACCGTGATAAAATACACGTAACATAGAGGAATGCACGTCTACGAACCCAGCCACTGGAGAGGCTGAGGCAAGCTAGCCGCAAGTTTGAGGCCGGCTTAGCAAACTCAGTCAGTCCTCGTTTCCAAATAAAGTTTCAAAAAAGGGCCAGAAGCTGGGCATGGTGGTGCACCATGTAACCCCTGCAGGGCCTGGAATCCCTGCACTCTGGGAGGCTGAAGCAGGAGGATCACCATGTAAAGTTGCACCATGTAACCCCTGCAGGGCCTGGAATCCCTGCACTCTGGGAGGCTGAAGCAGGAGGATCACTGTAACTTTGAGCTCCGCTTTGGCAACTTGGACTGAGACCTTTATTTCACAATAAAACATTTAAAAAGTGCTGGGGATGTAGTTCAGAGGAAGGAACTTGCCTAGCAAATGGAAGATCCTGGGGCCTCTCTCTCTCTCTCTCTCACACACACACACACATAGAAACCACCCCTTCCCCAAAAGTAAGGAACATACGCTAATTTAACTCTAGAACTAATACCATTCAATTGTGCAACCATCTCCACTATTTTTACAACTTCTCCATGATTCCAGATGGAAATTCAATCCCTTAAACACAAAACATCCTTTCCTTCTTCTTCCTGTCTCTATAAATCTACTTGAGATGTTTCTCATAAGTGGAAACATAATGTTCGAGATCTGCCCACCCCGTAATACACAGTACTCTTCCTTTTCATGGCTGAATATTGTATTCCATTGTATGCTGTTGGCATGCGATGGTGCATAGAACTCACTTTTTTTTTTTCCTGCAAAGTTGGTAGTAATATTCTCACTTTGATTTCAAGTTTTAGTAGTTTTGAGTCCTTTTTTTCTAAACCTTTGTTGATCTTTTCAAAGAGTGAACTTTGGAGGTTACTAATTTTCTTTTACTTTTCTATTCTCGATTGACAATTTCCTTCCTTCTGGTTTTGTGTTTTCCCTTTGTTCCTTAGGGTGTACAGTTTGCGGCATGTGATCTTTCTTTTCAAATGCGGGTACTGACAGCTATAAATTTTCCCGCTAGCAGTGCTTTTCAGTGTCCTAAATCTTGATGTGTTGTTTTCCTGTTTCCATTTGTCTCAAGGTGTCTAATTTCCCTTAAGACTGTTTAGCCATTGGGTGTTTCACAGTGTATTGTTCAATTTCCATGTTTGAGCGTATCCTAGTTTTCCTTCTGCTGTTAATTTCTTGTTCTAGTGTAGCTGGAAAGATACTCTGTATGATCTCAAATGTACTAAAACTTTGGGGTCTAACATCGTCTGTCCTGAGGAATGTTTCATGTGTTCAGAAGGATGTGGATTCTGTGTGGACTGGAGTGTTTTTTTGGTACCGGGGATCGAACTTGGGACCTTGCGCTTGCGAGGCAGGTGGCAGAACTGCTGAGCTAAATCCCCAGCCCGACTGACTGGAGTGTTCTTGCAGGTAGCTCCTGGGTCTAATCGGTTTACAGCGTTGCTCACATTCTGTTTCCCCACAGATCTTCTTTCCATTATTGGTTGTTTTTGTTTTTTGAGGCAGGGTCTCACCATGTAGCCCAGGCTGGCCTCGAACTGTAGCAATCTTCCTGTCCCAGTCCCCCAAGTGCTGGTAAAGTAGGCGTGTGCCACCATGCTTGGCCTGTCCGTTATTGGAAGTGAGGTATGGAAGTCTCCAATGATACATTTCTCTTCAATTGTGTTGATTTCTGCTGTGCATGTTATGGAGGTAATATTAGGTGTGCATGTTTACAATTATGTCTTCTCGAAGAATTTAAACTTCTACCGAAATACACTGGCCCTTCTTGTCTCTTGCTACCTTTTTGATGTAGTCTATTTTGCCTGATAGTCATTAAAACATACTATTTCCATAGAATCTTTTTCTTTGTCATTTTTTTTGTATCTGTATTTAAAGTGAATCTCTTTGAACACACCAGAGATCATGGCGTTTTTCTTTTTAAATCAATCTTCAAAATCTTCTTCTTTAAATTTCTCTTTTTGGTATTGGGGATTGAACCCAGGGCCTTCATGCTGCGTTACAGCCCCAGACTTTTTGTTTGTTTTTAAATTGTGCTGCGATTTCAGGTGTGTACCACATCGTGAAAACCTTTGCTTTTAAGTTGGAGATTTTAACCCATTTATATATTTACAGTCATTACTGAGAGGGAAGGCCTAACCCGTACCATTTACTTGTTTCTTCCCTGTATGTCACACGTTTTTCTTACTGTTGTTGACCACTAAGTCTAATGCCTGGGCTTCCTCGGGATAGTTTTTGCCAAATCCTGTTATATTTTTGTCCCTGAGTGAACCGTATTTCCTTCTTATGCTTTGTGATTTTTTTTTTGTAACTGAACATCGTGTATTAAGTTGGAAATCAGCCTGTCACCCCCCTTAGGAACTGCTTGTTAACGTCCTGCGGCCTGTTCGGCAGGACCTCTGCCAACTATTGGTGTGCAGGCTGGGCTCCTTGCACAGTCCCTGGATTTTCCACCCTGCTGCTGAGGTCTGCATGACAGGTTAGCTTTGGCGGTGTCTCCCTTCATCAGGTGTCCCGGCTGCTGCGTCTCATCAGGTCGCAGGGACCCCGAGTTGGCTGCCAGCTGACCTCCTTCAGTGACCTCCCTGGGAGATGGAGCTTCTGACTCCATTTTCTGCTGCAAATGGCACCTTTGCTCAATCCCAGGGGTTGTCCCCGAAGCTCTGGGTGCCCGCCGTGGTGCACCGCCCGGTTCCATGACACGGGATGAACTTCCTTCCTTCAGCGAGCTTGAGAAGGGTGTGGCCTTTCCCGGCGCTGCAGAACACAAACAGAATCCCACCAGATTTTGTACTTCCGCACGAAATGTGGCAGTCCCTCTGTTATTTATGTTACAGCAGGGAATCAAAGAACAAAACACGTTGACCAGGCTGTAGTAGAAACAGGGTTTTAATATAATATTCAAGTCTAGCATTTTCTATTTACAACAAATAAATATTGCCCCGCCCCAATCAGTAAACATTTTTCTTTCTATACAGATATTCACCTGCCCTCCCCTCCCGAAACCTCCCTCTCCCCAGCTCCGTTTCGAGTGGTCTGGCCCAGCCCGGATGCAGTGGTGAAGGGCACTTGCAGTGATGTGAGGTGCGGCTTCCTCGCTCCCCGGGTGGAGCGCGGCTGGTGACAGCCTCTCTCTCTCTGCTCGGCCCAGAGGGCGACGATGGACTCTTTGGTGCAGCCCGAGAGAGGCTAGAGAGGTGGGAGCAGGGGCTGGGACCCCGCGGAGGTCGCAGCCCGGTGCCCGGGGCAGGAGAGAACTGCAGTGGTCAGAGTGGATGCCCAGGGTGCCTGGGGCCCGGGCGGCAGTGACCTGACCTGGAAGGTGTCAGGGAAGTGTACGGAGGGTGGTGCCCGCTGGAAGTCCTCCTTGGCAAAGTCAGCGAGGCCTCTGGTTCCAGAGAGCAGAAGGCACCTAAGGCAGCGAGTGGTCCGCGGAGGCCAGGTCAGCCTGTCGATGGCAGGTGTCAATCCCGGCGGCGGGAGAGGTGCGGGGGAATCCAGAGGTGGAAGTGGCCTGGGCTGGCAGGTGGGCAGAAGGTACCTGCTTGGCCCGGCTCATTCTGGGTTGGCCCCGGGAGATGTCCTTAGAAGATGCCCTTGGCAATCTTGAGTCCTTTCTGCTTCATGCGAGGGAGGGTTGAGCTGGCCCCATGCTTGACCTTGGCGCCCTTGGTGAAGATCCGCTTCTTCAGGATAAAGTCGTAGTTGGCAGTAGAGTTCATGGCGTAGAACACGTTGGCGTTTTCAGGGATCTTCAGCTCTGGTGGTACAGAGGACGGGGTGGTCAGGGGTGCTCATTGGGGCCCCACAGGATACCTGCACCCCTTGAGAGCTCCCAAGGACGGGCCTGGACCACAAGAGACCCGAGGTCCCTCCGAACCAGCTCCACACTAGCCAGGAGCTCTCCCAAGACCCCTGCCCGAGGACAGATTGTGCAGGGATCTAGTTAAGAGTTAGGCTCTGCCTCACCCACTCCCACACCAGGGCCCAGGCGGCCTCCACAGCCCGGGGGTTCCCGGCACCCAGAGAGCCCTTCCTTGGCCCTTTCCCACCCGCTTCTTGGGCCATGAGCCTGTTCTCAGCCAATACTGGACCCGTGTGGCTCTAACTCTTGTCCCTCAGCCTCCCTGGGTTTTAACAGGCGACACGCGGGTTGATGGCCGTCCTGACTTTCTGAAGCACGTTTTCTCTCTTGGCTGGCAAAGCACCCCTTCCAAGAGTCGGCGGGCACCCTGTCATCAACAAGCTTTCCTTTTTCTTCTCCTCTGACCTCGGCTTTGTGATGCTCGTTTATGCTCAAGAGCTGCTGGGGCAGAGGCGGCCTGGGGCGCCCAGGGCCGATGAGGGCGTCATTGGGAGCAGTGCCCGCCTCCGCACCTCTGCCGTGTGTTCTGAGGCCAAGGATCTCGGGCTCAGGGTGGGGCTGGGAGTGGGGCTGAGCCCGCCCTTTGTCCTGACTCACTGCGATCGTCTGAAATGATCTGCACCAGCTCATAGTCCTCCGGCTCGTCCTCATCCAGGTTGTGTTTGTCCATGGCCTTGCGGATGACAGTGGGAGCCTTATCCTGGCTCGTCACCTGGGTTGGACGTGGAGAGGCCATCAGGCACAGGTTCCCCAGGGTGCCGTGGCCAGGGACCCTGTGGAGCCACCTCAGCCCCAAGCGCAGCCTCTCATCGGCGGGTCCAGGGCAACCCCTCTGTTCCTGCCCCCGCCCCCTTGGGTGGCCTGTGCACGAGCAGCAGGCTCTTTCCCAGTGTTCCTAGCCCCGCTTGCCTGTGCAGCCTGCCCTCTCCTCCCAGGCCACCTTGCTAGGCTGCTGGCCCTCAGGGACAATGGGATCCTTGGGCTGGGCTCAGACGGCCTCTGGTCCAACCTCAAGGGAGGAAGAGCTGGCTGGATGTCCGGTGCCAGGCCTGCTCTGCCCTGGAGGTTGCGGCAGTGTGGGTGGCACAAGCCAGAACCCTGGTGCCTGGACCCTGAGGGCCAGAGCGGAAGTGGGACCCAGACACAAGGTGTGCAGGTGAATGCTAGTGACAGCCACGCGAGCAGCCGGCAGCGACAGGCAGGGAGGTGTAAGTGTGGTTACAGGTGGCTCATGAGAAGCCAGAGACCTGGAGGAGGGCAGGAGTCCTCTCCTGATGCCCTCACACCTTCCACGAGCAGATCCCGTTGGTGCTCCAGTGACACCCAGATCTGACAGCGCCACATCCATAGCCATGACCCCAGTGCCGTGACCCCCACGCTCTGTGTCCCTCTGTGAGGAAGCCAAGGTCCTTACCCTGCAGCCCGGGCTCTGAACACTTTCCCGCCCTCCTGCCCTTGACCTCTCAGCCCCTACCTGCGGCCCCTGCACTCTGGGGGGCTGGGCCGTGCTCCCCTCCCTCCCCCCACCCATCCCGACCGTGGGGGCCCCCCGGCCGCTCGCTCACCAGGATGCTCTTGTACATGTTGCCGTTGTCCACGTCCAGGCTGACGCGGATGATGCAGCAGTCGCCCACCTGCTGGTTGTAGAGCGGCAGTGAGGAGCTGTAGCTGCGGACCCCTGAGACGGAGCGCTTGTGGGTGCGCGTGGCGGCCACAGGCGTGGTGGAGGCCGAGGAGGAGGACGTGCTGCTGGAGGCCGAGCTGATGCCGGACGTCTCTGGGGAGGACTGGGAGGCGGACTCCCAGAACTGCGGGGGACAGAGACGTCAGAGGAAGCTGGCGGCCGGCTTGGGCCCTTGTGTGGACACCGGGAGGCGGGGAGGAGGGCGGGCAGCCGGGCACCTTCTTTTCCTGGCCATCCGGGGACTCGGGGACAAAGCTCAGGTTGATCTCCTCCACGTCGGAGCTGGAGGAGCCGGCCGAGTGCACGCTGAGCGCGTCGGCGACATCCCCGCTGCTGAGGTAGGGGCCGCACCTGAGCTGGTCACAGGACTTGGAGTGGGAGCTGCCGCTGGCACTGAGCTCGGTGCTGGGAGCCTGGCGGCTGGATGGAAGGGTGCGTGTGAGGGGCCTCCCTGGGGCCTTGAGCCACGCTGCCCCCAAGGCCTTCTGCGTGGTCCCCGCCTGCCCCGGGCCAGACACTCACTCGCTCCAGCGCTTCACAATGGCCGTGCTCTTCTTGGACTTGAGGGTGTTGCTGGCAGACTCGGACGGGGGCTCCAGCTCACATGACAGGCTGTAGCTACGGGCAGGGGTGACATAAGGCCGGCAGGAACCACACGGGTCCCCCAGGGCTCAACCAACAGCTGGAGCCCAGGCGCCACCACCAGCTCCAGGCAGGTGGCCTGACCCTGACAGTGGACCAGGCTCGGGCTGTCGGGAGCCAGGACAGCCCGGCCTGTGCCCAGTTCCGGCCCTGCCTCACCTCTCGGCCTCGCTGAGCCGCTCCAGCGCCCGGAACCAGGCCCCAAAGGGCTCCTCGGGTGCAATGCTGTAGTTGTTGCAGGCCGACTGCAGCAGCTTGATCTGGGCGATCACCTCGAATTCCTGCAGCGGAGGGAGGACGGGATGGTGACGAGCCCGGGGGCTGCAGGGCAGGCGCCAGCCCCTGGGCCTGTGCTCTGGGCCACCCCGCTTGGCCCCGTTCTCGCAGCTGGGGAGATCCCAGGAAGCTGCTCTGGGTCCCAAGCTGTCCCTACCTCCCCGGACAGTGCCTCCCTAACCAAACCTCCCTATCAGTGGGGGGCATGGAGCCAGGTGTCCTCCCAGGCAGGGCCCCCTCCTGTGATGGCAGCAACTGCTCACCTTTCTCCTCTTCTCAAAGTTGATCAGCCTCCCCTAGAAGGCAGACACAACAGTCCTCAGAGAGCCCCTCCTACACCATCCGAGCTTCCTGCTTCAGGCTGCACCACCAGCAGCACCCACCAGGGGGCAGGGTGCACCCACATGGAGACTAGGGGGGCAGAGGCTCTCTAGCCTGCCTGCCCTGCCTGCCTCTCTGAGGACAATGGCCACCAAGAGCCTCCTGACCTTGGAGAGTTCAACCCCACTCTCCAGGTCACAGCCACCACTTGAGAGACTCTAGCTTGGTACAGCTCTAAGGTCAGGCAGCTCTGGGGGTCCCTGGGGGAGGAGGACAAGGCCCTTGCAAGTGCTGAGGGCTCAGGGCCTGCAGAAGCCCTCTCCTCCAGGCCTCGGACCCAGCCCCTGAACTGCTCCCCACGTGGCCCAGCTTACTCACATACAGATAGTCTTTCATGGCGGTGTCCAGCATGACCAGGTCAGTGAGGAAGGTGCCCAGGTAGGGGACGGTTCCCTGGATGACACCCTGTGGCCCCGGGTGGAGGTGGGGTGAGGCCCAGGGACCCTGTTCCAAGGCTCTCACTTGGCCTCCCACCCTGTGCCGCCTGAGGAGCTCGGCCGCCTGTCCTGGGTTCCCCTCCTGGAGTCCGGGCCCCCACCCCGCCTCTGCCTTTGGCAGACTCCCCACAGTGTTATGGGCCTGGCCCGTACCCCTCCCCCAAGGGCTGTGCCAGGCCCTGGCTCTGATGGCTCCATCTGGACCCCACAGTGCCAGCTGCTCAGCACATGGCCCATCTAATGGGGTTCCTCAGGCAGCGGAATGACAGGGATCCAGGTTGGGGGAGCCCCTCCTCTCCTGCTGCCAGCACCCCCGTCCCTCCCTGGGCCCTGGATGGTTACTCACTGCCTCCTTTGGCCGCCTTTGAGCTCTCCTGGGATTCATCTCCAGGGTGGCAAACTTGGAGGTACCCTCCTGCCAGGACCACAGCGGGGTCAGGGAGGCTGTCCTTCCCCTCCCTCCTCATGGCCTTGTGCCCAGGCTTCTACAGCACCCCCCAGGGTGCAGATTCTCCCTCACTCTGGTGGGGTTCCTGGGCCAGCGTCTGGCCTTGCAGTGGGAACCAGACTCCCATGCCCGGCAGGCAGAGGCCAGAGTCACGTTTCTGCCATGGGCACTGTCCCGCCCCGGCCCATCCTGCATGACCCCCCTTGCACCTCATGTTCTGTGTGATGTCAGTATCCAGGCTGCTCACTCCTCCATTTGGCACTTGAGGAAACTGAGGCCCAGAGAGGGTGGCAATTTCCCCAGGGACAAGGAGGGCAGACCTGCAGCCTCTCCAGCCTTTGGATGGGGTGTGCCAGGATCCCCAGCCAGGCAGAGCCACAGGAGGGGAGGGACAAAGTGTCTGCGTCCCCCAAGAGGGGCCCTTGGCTGATCGAAAGGTTCCTGCCTCCATGGAGCCCCTTGCCACGCTCCCCTGCATTCAACTCTGCCCTCGTCCACTTCGGACCAGGAGCTCCTCTGGGCCACCTGGCTGCCCAGCGTGTCAAGGGCAGGGGCAGGAGCACCTGTGTCCTGTCACGTGGAAGCTTCTGGGGTGTGCCCATGAGGACCCACCGAGGTTCATCTGTCCCTGATGCCTCTGAGCCAGCTGGGCACTGGCCATAGCACTGAGGCTCTGGTAGCCCCTGTGACCCAGTCGGCAGAGGGCAGAGCTGCATGGTGCACCCACTTCTGCCTCCCGGCCGGCTGTGGACCCTCTGAAGTTCCCATCACAGGAATCCTCTCCCCTAGGAAGTACAGGGCATGCAGGAGGGGAAACGGTCCTGCCTTTGTGGGGACTGCACGAGTGCGGGGGCTGCACCCCCTCCCATCCACCCAGTAAGTCTGGAGGTTGCTAAGTCCTATGAGGAAGCCAGACACCTGCGAATCCTGCAGACTCATCCACCCTGCTGGGACAAACAGCTGTTCTCACTACATCCAGGGAGTGGGGGCCTCTAGCACCCCAAACTCCCCATCTGCTTAAAGGCTGAACAGATCCCTCTTCCTTTCCTCCAGGGAGGTCAGTACTGGAATTGTGCAAAGAATCTTTCAGGCAGGAACTAGTACCCCACATGCCACCCTCCCTTAGCCCCCTCTTACCTTGATGAGCAGCTCTCTGCTCAGTGAGTAATTGTTCTCATCAGAGAAAATCTCAGACAGCTTTTGGAATATCCGGACGCTGTCCCTGTGGGAAAGGCAAGGAGGGTGCCTGTCAGGGAGAGCAGGAGAGCTGCGGGTGCAAACCTGGGCTTCTTTGGAATGCAGACACCCAGCTCCCTGCCTGGGTGGTTTGCAAACAGGCTCCGCGGCCTGCGAGGGAACCCACCAAGCTGGTGCAGTGGGGACCCTTGAAAATCCCACGCGCGTGCTCTCATCTGGTATCAGGCAGACTGCACTGCCTGGGCCCGGGGAGGCCTAACTTTACCCCTACCTGGCCTCGGGGTCACTGTGGGGATGGGGTACCCACCTGGAGACATCTTCCCACGTCCTCTTTAGGCGGTGGATGGCGTTGCTCTGCAGGGCAGAGAGGATGGCGTACAGGGAGGAGAAGTTCTTCAGGACGCGGCACTCCTGGGGGAGGAGGAGGACTCTGAGTGGTGAGGCGGCTCGCATGGCCCCGCCTCAGCCTGCAGAGCTCCCAAGGGTGGGCAAGAGAACACGATTCCAGCTCTGTCCAGGGCACCCACATAGGTGGTGGTGGGGGAGCCCCGATAGCGGGACCCGTGTCAAGGCCAGCGTGGCCCTGGGGAGGAGGAGCTTGAGGGCTCTGCAGGGGCTCCGACCTCGGACCACATCGGAGAGCAGGGCAGGGGTCCTCCTGCAGCATACCCTGGCCACCTCGATCCAGTGCTCCACCACCCGGGCCCTGTCTGGGGCCTTCATGCTTCGGTCCCCCAGGCAGGTGGTGATGACACAGTTGGCCACGTTGTTGAACTGGGCGACGGTGGCGCGGATGGTGGGTGCCAGGTGCTCCTTGCCCTTCTTGTCCCGCTGGGACCAGATGGAGCCCAGGCAGTGGTAGGGCACCACCTTCTTGAACAGCTCCTGGGGAGAGGGTCACCGTCACCGGCGCTGCCACAGCCCGCTGAAGGCCGGGAAGCTGAAGATGAGGCTGGAGCCTTGTGGGCTCTCTGGGTTTGAGCCCCGACCCCGAGGACACTGTACAGGAGTGACCTGGGGCGATGGTGAGGAGCGCGGCGTTTCCGCTGCCCAATCTGTCCAAGTACAGGACACAGCGGCTCACTCCTGCACAGACAGGGCAACTCGCACGCCCTCCCCAGGGTCCCTACGCTCAGGGCCAGGCCGGGTGTCTCTGGTGGGGTGCCCACTGCGTGCTGAGGCTGCTAAGTTCCCCAGGCGGACGGTGGGGGCCTGGTGCGGAGCGGAGCACCCCTCCCCTCAAGCTGGCCTGCCCTGCTCCTGGAATCTTCCCGGTCACTCCCGGGGGAGGCAGGGATAGACCCGAGTCCACTGCTCCGGGCAGCTGAGGCCGTGAGGCTTGGAAGCTTGCCCGGCTGCAGCGTGTGGTGGTGGAGCTGGGACTGGGCCAGGGCGCGGCAGGTGTGCACATGGGGTGCGGAAGGACAAAGCCCCGGCACTCACCGAGTCCATGAGCGTGAACTGCTCCGCCACGAGGTCCGGGGGGAACGTCAGGACGTGAGGCTGCTCCCGGCCAAGTCCGTTCTCCAAGGCCACAGGTGGAGGCCAGGGCGGCTCGACGGGCAGCCCGGGGCCCGGGGCCGGCTCCAGCTCTGGAGTCTGTGACAGAGTGGGCTTCGGCTCCCTGGCAGGCACTGCAGTCGGCTCCGGCGTGGGCTCCGGCTCCAGAGCAGGTGCGGGAGCCAGGTCGAGCTCTGAAGTCAATACCGGCTCCAGCTGTGGGCCCGACGCTGGCGCTGCTATTGGGGTGGATGTCAGAACTGGGACTGGAGCTGGCTCCAGCTCCACGGCTGGCTGCAGGGCTAGCACTGGGGCTGGTGACAGAGCTGCAAGAGAAGGATGCTCCACGTGACGGCCTTGCCCCTCCCAGACGCTGACCCCGCCACAGGACCCATCTGCCCAGGCTGCATTCCCAGCCCAGTGCAGGCCAGGAGCACCCCCAGCCTCCTCACCCTCAGGCTCAGCCTCGCTGGGATCCATGTCCTCCAGCTGCGCCAGGAGAAGGTGCGCGCGGCGCTCCAGGTCCGAGCCGGGCATGTTGAGCTGCACGTAAGCCACCAGCTGCTTGAGGCAGGGGAAGTCTGGAGGTTGGTAGAAATCCTCCGAGTACTGGTCCAGCCAGGTGCCCAGGATGGAGGAGATGGCACTGTGGGCGGGCGGGCAGTGGTCAGGGCTGGGCCTCCCCTCTGGTGGGGAGCCCTAGACCAACAGGCTGGCCAGCCCTCCCCTTCCTCCGAGAGGCCCCAAGCCCTGGTGACTGCGAGCCAAAGGGCTTGTCCCTGGGACACAGGTGGACACTTCTGAAGGGCGAGGCTGCCCTGCAGTCACCAAGCCCCTGGCACCCAGCTGAGCAGGTGGCTCCCCACAGCAGGTGTGCCCGGCTGTGACAGATTCTTGCAGGGCCCAGGGTGCAGCCACAGCCTCCCTTCTGCTCCCCAGGCGCCTGGAACCCCGCCTAGCATTTGTCTCCAGTCTCCTGCGGGCAGAGCCAGACTTCAGCCTGGCCTCCGAGGGAATCACAGGGGAATCCCAGCCGCGCTGGTGCGCGCCCTACCCTCTGGAGCCCTCCCTCCTTCTTCAGCCAAAGCCCACTCACTTTTTGAGTTGGTCCTGTGGCCCGCCGTCCTCGCTGGAGTAGGGGAGGATGCAGCCATATCTAGAGGAGGCCGTGAGGGCGTCACATCTACCGTACCTGCTTACGACGTCTGGTGTTACTGGGTGACCCCCGCGGAAAGGGGGCCCAGGACGGCAGGGGCGTCCCCGCCTTCCTCACTGTATTCTCCGCTGCCTGCAAACATAGCTGGCTGTGCAGGCGGTGCTCCCGACTGCACCACCGGCTCTTCCCACGCCGTCTCAGCAGGTCTGGACCCCTCAGCCCACCCCAGGGTCCTGGCAGTGGTTAGAACCACACAGGGATGAAATCTGGCAACTCCTCAGAGGGGGAAACTGCCCGGCCCGAGGCCTCAGGAGAGCAGGGCCCAAGAGCTTCCGGGGCTTTTCCCACTCTGTCGCCACGATGCCTTCCGAGGGGGATGTCCTCTGAGTGCCCCCGCCCCCGGGCTGAGAGGCAGGTGAGCACCTTTTGAAGAGCAGGTCCAGCACCTGCTGGGTGGTGGTGAAGGCTCTGTAGGTGCACAGGAAGACAGTGACGTAGGAAAGGTCGCTGCCCTGGAAGGCGGGTACCAGGTGCTCCACCAGCTTCTCCAGCGTGCCTGCCTTCACAGTCCGCACCTTACAGGTCTCGTAGAGGCTCGGGGCAGACTCGTTCTCGCACTGGGGGCAGGGACAGCAGGGCAGGGACACAGTCAGCGTTAGCACCACCCAGCTCCGGGACAGTGGAGCTGCAGCTCAGACTGAGCTCCCAACCCTCCCTCAGTGGCTCAGGGACCGAGTTGGGACACGACGTGATTAGGTATCTCTGGGAGAAAAAGGGTCTCAGGGACATGCCACCGGAACTCCAGCTATTTGGGAGATTGAGGCCGGAGGATCATGAGTTCAAGGCCAGCCTGGGCAATCTAGCAAGGCCCTGTCTCAAAATAAGCTAAAAAGGGATGAGGGCATAGCCCAGTGGTACAGTGCTTACCTAGGTTCATCCCCAATACTGTAAAAAGGAGCTCTGGCTATGGCTCAGATCACCAACAGTGCTATCCCAGGGATTCCTAACAGAACACCCCATTCTAGAGACGAGAAAACAGAGGCTTACACAGGTAGGGGATTGCCCACAGGACACACGGAAGGTTTCTGTGGCACGGCCAATGATAGGGACCAAACAGCCGCCATCCAGCCTCCCTTCTACACTATCAGGGAGGGGCTGAGTTGTGCCCCAGCTTCCGCGCCACGGGGCTGGAGGCGAAGAATGGCCCAGCTCAACATGACCACAGGTAAGGCTGGGAGACAGGGCAGCAGGACCACCGACCAATGGCGGCACGGGCACCCAGGGGTGGGAAGGAACCCAAAACACTTGTAACCCGAGGCGAGACAGCGTCCCCTCCTACACAGGCCTTGGCACTGGCCAGCTGTGGGTGGCACTCTAGGCCTGGGGTCCTCTCCGATGGGCCACACTCACCCCGAGCCAGCGCTGGCCCTTGCTGGCTCCGTGCTGCAGCTGCACCTTGCGCAGGGAGATGGAGTAGATGACCCCGTTGATCAGCTCCTCGCCGATCTCCTGCGTGGAACTCTGCCGAGACAGTGCCAGGCGGGGACATCAGGGCTGTCTGTTCCCCAAGGGCAGGCAGCGGCAGACAGAAGGCCCCGCCCAGCACTCTGGCCCACCAGCCAGCCAGCCGTGACCTGGGTGTGAGCACGGTGGCCCCAGGCCTCCCATGCACCAGCCCCCTCTGTCCAGCCCGGGTCCCGGCTGACCCAGGCCCGGAGTCAGCATCACAAGGCTGGGGCACGTGCAGGACACCCCAGACCACCACATCCGAGGTACTTCCTTCCCCTTTTGCTCATTCGTGCCCTTGTGCCTGCTTAGGCAACAGAGGGGTTCCCAGCACCCGCTCCTCCTCACGTGAGCCGGGCGGATGTGAATGGTGGCAGTGCTGGGGAACCCCCTGGGCCCTGGCTGGGACACGAGGAGGTCACCTGGTTGTCCCTGAGGCCCCAGGACAGAATGGAAAGGGCCTTGTTTTAGGGGACGGAGGCTCCCGGCACCGTGCAGGCTGACCCGGGGGCTGCGTCACCACAGCCAGCAAGGCCTCTTAGCCATGGCCACCCCGGGCTTCCCAGCTCTCTCCCACTGGAGCTGTCGGGGGAAGGGGCGGTTCGAGGTGGTGGTGGGGGTTAGATGCTGACACAGGTCTAGGGAGGTGCTGAGAGGTGTGGAGTCAGAAGGCCCAGATGGAGGCGCTGGCTTAGCCTGGGCCCCCACCTCCTGCCCACCCGCAGGCTCTGGGAGGCCGGGAGCCATCTTCAGGAAGTCCACTTCCTGTGACCCACGGCTGCCCTCCAGCTCTGGGCTCTGCACCAGCCACAAAGCCACGGATATCTGGGCTCCCAACCTCCGCCTCCTCTGGAGGGAGGGCCAGCCCTGTTTCTTGGAAGTTAGTGGGGCACCTGCAGGCACACCCACCCCCCAAAGCAGGCCACTCTGGGGGAGGTCCCCCTTCTGAGGTAGAGGAGGAACTTCCCTCCGGACTTAGTACAAAGAAGACACCTTCCTCTACTGGCAAACTGCTTTAGGGGACACCAGACGCTGGGGGACCAGGCCCTGACCACCCTGTCCCCTCTGAGGCCCTTACAGGTCAGCTTGGCTGGAAGAGCCTCTTTCCTTCTCAGGGGTTCCAGCCACATCCGGCCCACCTGGGCCTTAACATGTGAGCATCCCAGCCCCTGAAGCAATGCTGGGGTCTCACACAGGACACCCCTGCTACAGGACCCTGGAAGCCCAGCACGGTGCCACTCTCAGCAGGGCTCCATCAGCGCTGGCCAGGCCACCACAGGACGAGCCGGGCCAGGGCTCTGCTCAGGTGTCATGTGATCCCTGCGCTCTTCCCCCACCCCCGAGGGGCCCCTTCTGCCGCCTGGTGTGTGCGTGGAGGGGAGCAGATGGGCGCCAAGACCCACAGACGCCCGCCAGGGGAGCCGCTGCTCTGTCGCACAGATGGGAAGCTGCCCTGGCTCACATCCTCTCTGGTTCCCTCAGCTTGATGGAACAGGCTGGCATCCTGATTCCGGTCACCCCAGACCACAGAGCTGCTGCGGTCCTGGGCAGAAGGCTCCGCCGCTCCTTTCAGGGACAGAGAAGAACAGCCAATCGCCCTGGGCTGCCTTTGGTGAACAGTGAGCAGGGCCAGGAGTGGACAGCCCACGTGGGAGGCCAGGCCCCAGGGACACTCTACAGGCCGCTCTGAGGGGGGCAGAGTGGAGTGGCCCAGTAACCAGTGGATGCAGAGAAAATGCCTTCCCTGAGGGCATGCATTCAGGCAGCCACATGGCCAGCTGGGTCCTGGGGGAGGGTCACACCCTTCCCATCTCCAAGCACACAGCGTCCCCAAGGTCCTGGGACCGGAGGACAGCGAGCTGTGCCTCCAAACACGCTGGCTCAGTAGATGGAAGGTTGCTGTATCCCCGGGGCGCAGCCCAGAGCCCCTAGGACAAGAAGAAACAGGGCCTGGGTGGGTAGTGTCACCTGATCAGTGCTCTCAGGGTGACAGGCAGCAGGATGCTATGTCCCCTGCTGATGGACGGAGGGGGCTGCAGGCCAAGCCCAGATCCCCCGTATGGTGGAGGACTGCGGGTGGCAAGGAGACATGCGCAGTCCTGCCGTCTCCGGAAGGCACTCACGCCAGCACGGGTTGGGGCGGCACCCTCTCGCTCCCTCCCCTCCACCGTGGTCCAGCTCCTGGCTCTAGCTTGAGTTTCGAGTGGCAGCGACAGCCAGGGCTCCGGATCCCTGAGGCCTCCAGCTGCACTGTGGACGCCCCCGAGGGGTGGGGCTGCAGCAGCGGGAGAGGGGTGCAACTCTCACAGACTACTCTATACACGTGGAGAGGTGCAGCCCCACTTGGGCAGGCAGGGAGGGAGGCTCTAAACTTTGGGGACCCCCCCATGCTCCCTGGGCGGGTGCTCAGGGCCAGCATTCATCAGAGGCCACCATGGGGCCCTCCTAGAGGGTGGCTTGTCCACAGCCCTGCAGCACCCTGACTTGCCAGCACTGGTGAGAAAGTGGAACAGATCAGAGAATGCCGGCTCTCTGGGTTCAAGCTGGCTGAGTACCTTCCCATTTTACAGAGGCGGGCACTGGGGCCTGGGTTGGGGGCCAAGAGCAAGTGCCCGGGTCCTGGCTCAGCTCTCCACGAGGAGCCTCCATGGGGGAAGGAGAATGAAAGCACCACCATCACAGCACTTTTGTCCTGTACCCGGAGCACTAGGGCACAGGCAGGACCCCAGCAGGGACTTGGGGCCGGCTCCAGGTGGGAGGTGGGCCAAACTCCTGATTCCCCAGGCACTGCAGCCAGCGGCAGCCTCTGACGGAGATTTACAAGGTGCCTGGCTGCCATGCCAATGAGGGAGTGTCCTGGCCCCGAAAGCAGTCTGGGGACCAGCCCGCGCTGGCTGACCAGGAGTCCCCAGGAGCTCTCCCTGCCAGCCTGTACCCTGCTATGGGCCACGTTAGCATCTAAGGAGGAAACATGTGCTCCGAATGGGGTGGGGAGTCCCGGCACTCTGGCCTCGTCCACCTGTCCTCATGCACACCGGCCCGATCAAGCACGCAGGCAGCCACCACCGGCCTGGCCTGGGAGGGGGTGGGGCTGGTGGCAGCCAAGGAGGGAGGCCTGGCTCCGTGGCTGAAGACCAGCACCACTGAATGCAGTGCCCAGCACCTATGGTACTTGCCGGTGCCAGGCCCTGCACACACTCACTGCATTTCATGCTTTCGACACCCACCTGATGGACGAGGAAAGAGCTGGGCATGGGCACGCCCAGGACAGGGGGCAGGAAATGACGGCCGGGACAGGGACTGGAATCCTGGCCTGTGGGGACACACTGGGCCTGGCTGCTGCTTCTACCACGGTCACAACCTCAAAGCAGGGTCCGGCCCTCGTGACGCAGACGTGGAGGAGGGCCAGAGACAGGAAGGACTTCCTCGGGTCACACAGCAAGTGGCAGGGGGCTGGGCCAGCGCCTCCCGACTGCATCAGAGTGGAAGTTTCTGATGTGCCCTGGCAGAAGGCCTGCACCACGGCCCGAAGTCGGCTGTGAGAGCCAGGCCTGGGGAGCGGGCAGGCGTCGGCAGCGTAGCCCGGGCCCAGCGTGTGGGCACTCCCCTTGGCACTTGGTCAGAAAACCTAACTGTGGCTGCTGCCACCTGTCCAGCTCTGCCACTGTGCCAGGCACTGTGGACTGCTGGTCGGGCCGTCTCTCGTACTGGTCCACACAGAACCCTAAGCAGATGAATCAGCGTCACGTCCATTTCAGACAGGAAACCCACGCTCAGAAAGCAGCAGGGCTTAAAGGGCCTGGTGGTGTCCAGCCACCCTCTCTGTCCTCAGGGCCCAGCTTTTCACCTTGGGTTGAAAAGGGACAAAGGCCTCTAGGGACGGCTGCAAAGGCATCAAAGGGAGAGGAGAATTCCAAGGCTATACCTTGGCTCGCCAAATGCAGGCCCCACTCCTGGTCCTCCGGCCCTGCTCTCAGGGCCGTGCTTGGCTGTCATTGCTCCCTTCTCCAAGAGAGCTAGATCAGCTCGATGCTCAGTTCCTCCTGTGGGCTGTGACTCCAGTCTCTGAGGTGCATGTTCATCAGGACACAGTGTTTCTGGGACTGCAGGGTAGGGGGTCCAGCTTTGGGACAGGGTGGCCACAGCAGGTGGTGGGTGTGTCATGCTGTGGGAGCCGCCTATGCAGGCAGGCAGCCAGCCAACCACCCCAGGGAGCCAGTCCTCCACGGCCTGGGTGCAGCCTCCTGGAACTGCCCCTGTGTTACAGAGCCAAGGGCTGGGACTAAGTCTCTGCAGCTCTTCTCACCAGAGATAGAGAGAGAGCACGTCTGGGAACTTGTCAGAGTTCCCAACTGAGTCGACCAGACCCCACCACTGCCTGTGCAGTCCAACATCTCCTGGAGCTGTCCCCCGCCTGATGCCATCTTTTCCAGGGCCGCTCCTGAGCCTCCCAGAAAACAAGTCAGCATGCCCGAGTGGCCCTAACATGGAGAAGGAAAGAGGACCCAGTAGCAGCCCCTCCTTCCTCTTCTTGTACCCCAGAAGTAAAGCAAGGTTCTGGGGTCAATGGTGACAGACAGTCCCCTCCTGAACTTGACAGGTCCCTAAGCTCCTGGGGGTTCCCCTTTGGAGTAAGGCAGGAAACCCTCCTGGAAGATTACAGTGCCAAGTGAGCATGCAAGGGCAGCCCCGAGGGTAGCGCCTCTGGGCCCCTGATCAGAGGTAGTACTGAGCCCCGGGGCAAAGCTGCAGAACTGCGTAAGTGGGATCAAGCAAGCAGACAAATGAAGCAAAACACCCCCCAAACATGGAGAAGACTGCACGCTGTCCTTCTCACGCCACGTGCACGTAGGCCTTCTGGGTCAGGACCCACCTCTGCATTGACCAGCTCCCTGACCTGGTGCAATCTCATTAGTAGTTTCATCTGTCAGATGTGCTATTAATAGTCCTGACCCCAAATGACAGAATGCATGCAAATCACTGAGCAAAGGCCTCCCCGTCACAGAACACCTCATGGGGGCTTGTCACACCTGGGTGACCCCTCCTCAGGCCCGAAGCACTTTCACCTGCCCCTGGAGGAGAGCTAAGCTTCCCCTGAGCAGGGCCTCTGGGCTCCCTCCCCCGTAGCTCTGTCCTGTCCTGCTCTGATCCCTGCCGGCTCTTGTCTGTAGTAGACACCCATGGGGAAACCAGCCCACGGCCAAGTCCTGGCTGAGACCCTTCTTGGCTGCGTGTCTGTGTAGGTCAGGGGCTTCATCTCTGCCCGTCTGCTAGAAGGTGGGGTTGTCACTGTGCCGCAGGCTGGTCTACACCGGGTGGAATTGGGTAGAGTTGGCAGGAGCTGCAGACCTGTGAACTCCTCTTGCCCAGCTAGGCCACGGCCTGTCCCAAGGCAGGGATGCAGGCCCGGGGGCCTCAAGGATGCACAGAATGCTGCAGGTCAGGCTGGGTCAGTGGTGACTTGGCTTATGATCAAGATGACGGGCAGATGTGTGAGGACATCTGGCCCTACCAGAGGGAAGGCCTGGGTGGAGGCCTGGCAGGAACAGGGATGGAGAAGGACGCAGAGACTGCCTGCCTGATGGTTCCCAGGGGACACAGACCTCAAGCAGGGCTGCTTCAGCTCTGCCTGCTTCAGCCACCAGGAAGTCAGCCCCAGGATGAGGGGCTTGGCAGGAGGGACAGGGACTTCCCCACCCCTCCCCCAGGCCCATGCTAAATGGTCATTGTGTTTGGTTTCCGGCAGTGGCCTCCTCTCCTGCCAGGACCCTGGTTTTCCTGCCCTAGCCAGAAGCTTCCCCTCTTTCTAAATAGCAGCCATGGGCTGCATCTAGCAGTGAGGCCTGGGGGCCTGGGGAGAAAGGGAGCCACAGCGTCTGAGGATGGCCACCAGGGCAGGGATGGAGCCTGGCTCTGCCTCTCCCTGGGCTCCTCAGGGGATGCAGAGGGGCAGAGACAGAGAGAAGCGGCCAAACCCCCAGCCTGGAACCTGCTGGCCCCTGTGAGCGCCCAGGCCAGACCCTCCCAACACACAAAGCCTGAGGCGTTGCCAGGCATGATGAGAGCGCTGGTGTCGGCCTCCCACCCCCACACGCCCGGGGTCGGCCTGCATGATGAGCGGGATGCCCCCAGATGGACACCTGCCCAGCTCTGCAGGTGTCCTGGGCCCGGGGTCCCCCAGCAGAGAAACACGGTCCAGGCCCTGTCTCGCACCCCCTCCGCCACACCGTGTCAGGTGCACGGTTCAACAGATGCAGACAGCACATGTGGCCCACTGGACCCTGCACAGGAGACGCTGGAGAGGAGGCCAGGCCATCACCCCAACGGGCAGGCGACCCCACGTCTCTGAATCCTCTCAAATCCTTACAGATTCAGGGAGTCAGCAGATTTTCTAATCAGGCAAAAGTGACTCACGCCCTGGCCTGCAAGGCCGGGTCCCTCACTGCCTGGCCACCTGGTCCCACACGCTGGGACTGGAGACCCCTCCACTCACTGCCCTGGAACCTCCCTGGTCATCGGATCCCTCCCTCCCGGGAGGCGCCTCCCATCACCTCCGCGGCACCCCCACCTGCACGGGGGAGCCTGACATTGTCAGTACAGGCCCGGCTGACCACCGAGTGAAAGAAGGCCCTGCGGGTGGCAGCTCACAGGCCACAGACATAAACAGTGACAGCGCCGCGGGGAGAAGTCTCCCAGGGCTGCGGGGCCGGGGGCCACCACACCCGACTTTGGCACGCATCGCCATCGCGGGC